ATTCTGCGTCTTTGACCTGCTTGATTAGCATCAGTGTTGAAGCATTTTCAAGAATCTTCCACCTCTATAATCATGCACAACTGGTATGTGCCATTTTACTAATTGCAGCCAAAACATTGTGGACGCTTTCGTGAAAATAAATTACGCAGATCTCTAAGTTTTTGAACGACCACAAACCCACTGGAATAACGACATTGAAGCATGTATCCAACCAGCATTATTAAGAAAACAGGATTTTATAGATTCATTCCAATTCCGAAACAGTTATTTAATTGGTCCGCAAGCTTCACTTGATGTCAGAAATATATCAAGGTCACCATATAATGTTGATTCTTACTCTCTGACTGAATAACACCGTGTTCTTTCCAAAACCTGGATGAAACAGTTGTCTAGTGTTTCCCTAACCGATGCTATCCTGAAATGGGGGTATATTTTCACTTCTCACAACAGAATGATGCTCCTACACACACTATAGTTCTTTCTTTCGAACATTACCTAAATTCAGTTGGATAATACAAATAAATGTTTCCTAATTACATTAACTAGTCAACTACTAGAGGCCTATTTATTTGACGAATTTTACCCGTAGATCTCTAGAATCTTCCCATGTATAAACTATAAATACACTGACGTTTCTCTTATTGTGCTTTTTACTACCATCTACCCTTGTTATTTAGAATATGGTTTCTTTCCTGTCCAACTGTGTTCTGATTTGGGGACTTGTCGAGTGAATTGGTGTTCACTGATGAATTTAAAATAGTTCATCCAAGAGGTTTAAGATGTGTTCTGGTGTATGAGATAGCAAAAATACGGTCAGTTTCTCCTTGGATTTCAACTAAGTCTCAGATAGGAAACAAACTGATTATGCCCCATGCTTGTGTCCGTAACCTCAATTTATCAAAGATTCAACAGTTAATTACGTGAATGAAACTGGGCATTATGTGCCGTATAATTCCAAACGTGTAAGGAGAATGATCATTCAAAGTCAAGAGCTAACAGTGAGGGAATGGATCGATACGTTGATATAGGACTATACTGACTAGTTTTTAATGTGATAGTATGTCTATCCCACACTATTACATATATGCCCTGAATACCCGGTTTTTATGACAAGAGTGAATAATCAGCCAACGAATAAAATGTCAGATGCAACACTATTCCTGTCTGCAGCTAGAACGGAACAAAAAAATTGAGACGTCTGCGCCTACTTTATGGTTAATTTCTGTGGTGTTTGTATGAAAACATGATGGTTGATTTCGAATTCTAAATTCAATACGTTCATTTGTACTCACCTAGTTTTATTAGGCTTAAGTTGAACTGTTTCGGGAATTCCTATTTAATACAGTTTTTTGCGGCATACATAGTGGCAAATATAAGTTACATTTGAACGGCTAGTTCTCGTCGGTGAGTGTAAACCTCACCCCCATTGGCAATTTTAACCTTGTACCTGGTGACCAGCTAAAAATGAAGTTGGGATTATTATCTACATCGTAATTCATGATCAAGGGCGTGTTTCGTTAAATGTTGTTTTTGATGTCTTTCATGAAATGGATGATAGTCCAGTTATAAAAGTTAGACTAACTGAAATCTTAGCCATAGTCTGTAAACTGGACGTAATCCCATTTGATTGGCCTCGGTCGCTGATCGTCCAAGTTTATGAGGAAGGACAAATATTCTCTTATGACAGTCACAAGGGAATCAGTTCAACTAATATAGTATCTATAATATTGAAGATGATACTTCGAGGTCTAACTAAAGCTTGTGAAGAGCGAACTCGAAAAAAACCAAGCCGGTTGCAGACCTGGACGTTGATGTATAGACTAAATATTCATCCTTCGGCAGATTCTGGGATATAGACATACTTTTCAACGTCAAAGTATAGTTGTGCTCCTTGACCAAAAGACGGCGTTCGACTCTGTTGATCGAGAGATTTCGTAACAGTGTGTCTTCGAAAGGCCTACCAGAGAAGAACATTATTCTTGTAGAACACTGGTGGAGTCAGAGTTTATGGTGAACTGTCATTGGTTATTTCAAGTGGTGTTCGTCAAAGTTGTTCGTTCTCTTCACTTTTATTTAACTTTGTCATAGACATGTGTTTACAGATGACACTCGTCTGACTTTTCAGGAGTTGATTTTCTACCAGGAGATTCACTTATTGACTAAAGATACACAAGTGATATAGTTCTGTTTGGTGAAAACGCTGACAAAATGTAGCCTACTGACTACCTCAAGCAACAGTGCAAGCATGTTTGGAATGGGGTCCTCTCCCTCCGAATTTATGATATTACCTCAGGATTGGCTTGAGTCATCGCCTAAATTGATGCTCCACTTATATTAAAAGTCTCATCAGTACTGATGCTACAGTGTGACGAAATCTCGGCACAAATTCAGATAGCTCGATTAGCTTTTGTCAACTTGTGTCACTTGTAGCATAAGTGAGATATTCGTCTAACAACTAAAGGGCGAGTTTACTGTGCAGCAGTTTGTTGTGTTCTCCTTTATGAGTATGGGTTCATCCATTCTTTGTTTCCCCAAGAAATTCTAAGTCCATAACTTTTTTTATTCTGTCAATTTATATTTACTTTTCGAGTCGTATACTCGATGCCTGATCTTTCCTAATACCTCTGATACTGTTAATACATCTACTACCCCTGGGATTTGGCCTGACGACTTCATCTCTCTGTGTTAATGGGATATGGCAACTTGAACCGATGTACATAAGCACAGGTTCTACGTTGTGCATGACTGACGATGAAGATATCACACCATCATACTAACGATCTGTCAAGTGTAGGACAGTCAGTTTTGAAGGAAAAAATAACAACATAGCAAAAGACATAGCGTCAATAAATTCTATGGTAGAAAGCATCTCGAAACATCTACAATTGAGTGACAGGATAAAGGAAAACATAACATAGCCGCAATGACGGACTAAGATACTGTTCGATGAATTAAACACGTGAAGTTTATTCCCAGCGGCTCCCGTTCTATATTTTAACATCCATAGATAATAGCAACTAAGCCTATTAATCAGAACTATAAAAAAGTGGGGAAGATACGTGAAATAAACTCGTTTCTCTCCTTTGCGTCAGATACTCTGTCTATTACGCAGGACACCAACACAACTCTGATCAAGAACAGGTGACTGACTTGACCAGCATGTGAATATATTTCAACAACTGATTATCATATAATTTAAGGTAGGGAAATATATGTAACACATCAAACACCTGTCAGACTATCTACTAGCGTGACATCCAATCGTTATTTTGCTCGCCCACATATCAATATGTTCTCATTGGCAATTATTAATGCTTCGAGTAACTATTGAATAGACTAGCTCCATTGAATCCACTGGACAGCGAAGCAGCACACATAGACCTTCCTGTAGATATCACTCCACCAACGATCGAAGAAATCAGGAAGGCTATCAGATAAATCAAGAGCGGGAAAGCAGCAGGAAGTCAGACATTGGAGTAACTGAAAACATGCTTCACCTTCTATTCAAGAAGATTCGGGAAAACTGCAGATGGACTAGAAAGAAGGACAACTCATAAAGACACCAAAGAAAGGAGATCTGAGTAAATGTGGAGTCTACAGCGACATCACACTACTGACAGTACCAGGCCAAGCTTTCAACGTAGTGTTGCTGAGCCGGATGAAAGATACAGATAACCTGGGCCTTCTATCCCATACACACGAACAAATGCAAGTGAAAACAACTAGTGTAGCAGCAGCCTCTGCATCAGTAGACCTCAACATACACAAGGGGAAATGCAAGATCCCTAAATACAACACGACGAACACCAACCCAATCACACCTGATAGAGAAATTCTGCAAGAAGTTGAAACTTTCACGTATCTGGTCAGCATCATCGACGAACGTGGAGAATTGGACGCAGACGTAAAGGCGAGGATTGGCAAAGCAAGGGCCGCATTCCTACAATTGAAGAACATATGGAACTCAAAACAACTTTCAACCAATATCAAAGTGAGGATCCTCAATACCAACGTCAAGGCAGTTCTACTGTACGGAGCTGAAACTTGGAGAACTACAACAACTACCATCAAGAAGGTAAAAGTATTTATAAATGGTTGTCCACGCAAGATACTCAACATCCATTGGCCGGATACCATCAGCAACAACATTCTGTGGGTGAGGACAAACCAGCATCCAACTGAAGAGGAAATTAGGAAAAGACTTTGGAGGTTGATACGGCATACATTGCGGAAATCACCAAACTCCATCACAAGGCATGCACTAACTTGAAATCCTGAAGGGAAACGGAAAAGAGAAAGGTCGAAGAGCACACTACGTCATAAATCGGAAGCAGATATGAAAAGGATTGCTCAGGACAGGGTCCGATGTAAAGTACTAGTGTATGGCCTATGCTCTCGCACGAGGAGTAACAGGCGTAAGTAAGTACCTGGTCACAATAAAAGGTAGTCCTAACCACTAAACTGAATTTGTCATTTACTGATAGCAAGTCGTAGAATGTATATGCCATATCACTCACGTGATGAATAGTGGCTATTGTTACCAACATAGGCAAGATCATAACGAGATAACGCCTAGTTTTGTTCATAGAACGAGTATCACTATTGTCCCTCTAGGAATTTGAGTTGTACTCTATTATTTGAAAGGTAAACATGTATGTCTGACAGTAATTCTGATGTCAAGCTAATTTTCATTTGACCGTGTAGATTACCATTATATCTCTCCGATACTTGCCATTATTTTGGATATACATGATTAAAGACTCATATTTAGAAAGTAAGTGAATTTTTATTTACCTGGTTTTAGTATGGAAAGTAGGTTGATCAGCCATGAGATCAACAGGAAGATTTACGACCTCATCAAACCTTGTTTGGGAAGTCAATGGTTTTTACGTTTTGTCAATATCATGATGATAGTAATTCTATTGAAAAATACATCAAAATATGATAGGTACCCTATCAAATTAGTTTCCATACTACTACTTAATGAAAAATGTTATTTTAAGGTAAGATAAATAATTTCATTACATTTTTATCAAGTATTTAAACACAAGCGTATTTAGATAGATGAATACAAGGAACATGGACGTCTTTCTTCGTTTACCTTTGACTTGTTAACCCGTTTAAAATTTCTTAATTGGTTCTTAATCAGTTCCCTTATGTTGTACTCACTATCGATTCGCAGTAAATGGAAATACGCATTGATAAATATAAGTAAAACATGTTCAAATAGTGACAGCTGATTTTATACAAATTCATAAGAATTATATAGCAGTTATCAACAATTAATTTGAATATACAAAATGGATCACCTAGATTTAGTGTGTATACTGCTATGATAAGCAGTCCTTAAACGAAGGCGCGGCAGAATCCTCATGCACATCAGTTCTTGGAAAAGCAGCTTGCAGGCATACGGCATACGGACAGAAACAACTTGACGACTACTTCGACAATACTGACACCAGTTAGGTGATGTAGCTAACAAACCACATTTTTCACATACACATGCATCATAGGCATCGCTGGAAAGCAAAAGACGTTCTAATAGTAATTGTGAAGTACCATAAGCAATAAAACAGTCTCGTTCCATTTCTCCAACTCGTAAACCTCCTTCTCTACTACGACCCTCCGTCGGCTGTCGAGTCAATGCTGTGACAGGCCCGCGTGAGCGAGCATGTACCTGAAAGTGATAGTGCAATAGTTTAAGAATAACAATACAATGTATCCGGTAAGAAGAAAGCAAATCAAGTCCATAGACACTGCGAAAATTGTACTAGGCAGATCGACAAAACACTACTCCCAAACTTTAATCTGTTCAAAGTAATGGGATAAAATATGTTTGGATATATGCAACTAAGTACTAGGTATGTATTCATTCAGAAAAAGTAAAATGTTTTATATTGAAGCAGAATTATATGGGATTCGACGGTTTGATAATAGTGATAATAATTCAATTTGCGTTTCTAAATGTCACCGTTATATTAACACCAACAGTAATAGCCAAGATCCTCAAACGAAGGGAACAACAGTGACAATGCGAAAAGATACAACTATCTACATTTTTGTGATCAAGGTAAGGTGAGGTAAAACTGTGGTGTATGCTATGTCTGTCAACATAAGTAGTATGTAACACCAATCAGAAGTGGAATAACTGACAGAAGAAAGGGTAAAGTCCTCAGATTCACTAAGCTTGAGAAATGTAGACATATTACTCGAAATATTTGGAAATATTTTGCAAATTTTGTCAAATAAAACATAGCTATAGGACGCTAATGGTTTAAAAGTTGATTTGCATCTATTTTTATTCTGAAAAGAAGTTTTTTTAATGTTTCATTCTAGACTCATTCTCAACTAAAGACACCCTAAAAATGTTTTTCATATTTGACCAAAGCACTCTAATTTTTACATTAAAAACAGTAAGTTGGTTATCTGCACTAAGTCTTCGTTCACTAAATAACCACTTAGTATTTCGGTGGTTTTTATTTTATTAGGACTTTAACCTGTTTTCAAAAAATATATATGACTACTCTAATTCCAAGCAGAGGAAAAATAAAGGCGAAAGGAAACTAATCACGCACCCAGCAACCTCAATCTATATCGAATTCAAAATAAAAAATTCGACACTTACTTTGTCCATAACCATATGCTTAAGTCGCTGGTAATAAACAGGACCAAAGTAAATAAACGCTTCAAGCGGGGCTCCAGTAACTCCAGAATACAAAATCTCCTTGCCAAGATAATGATACCCATGATCAATAAGTACTTGTGAAAGGACTTCAGCAGGATCCCCAGAAAACGCTGAACCGTCTCGAATTTTTCCTTCGATGGCCCCGGCTTTGCTACCCAAGACTTCTAACAATTTACCCACCTTCAAAGTAAATACAGACAATAAATTTACGAAATGGAAATAAAATAAAAATTAAAAACATGCTAAGTATGAAGAGTTGCGAAATGAGTTGATAGTTACCAAACAGAATCAATCCCTCAAAGTTACAGAAAGTTATTCCACGATGGTATATTCATCAGTTTACAGATAGTGACTTCTAAATACTAAAAATCTAGGTGACGAATTCTAACAGAATGTATATAGATTATTTGTATGACATCGATTGAACAGAATCCACTTTAATTAAAAAGCCAAATCAGCATTTCACAATTTAAAGCGATCTTCGGGAACGCAAGCTACTATAAAAATGAAGCAAATATTTGCGAAATTCTAAGATTACTCTTTCAAAAACAACATAAATTACGTAATACTTCGGATGAAAAATATGGTATTTACATTTTGAGGATGCTAGATCCCCAGAATTTATTTAGTAAGCTTTTCTTTCCGTAATTTTATTTTGGAAATTTGAATTTCTCGTTTTTGCGCCAAAAGCGCCCATTCTTAACTTCAGATTGTATTTCCCACATGAAAGGACATTAAATGTCATTGGTTGGTTGCTTCTTTTAATACGCTATTGTGTGACGTTGTACATATACGCTTGAGTTGTGTGCTTGTTGTTGTTCATGATTCTGGCTGCTTATGGAACATACTTTCCCTCATCTGAACCTGGAATTCTCTCTCTTGTTAGCTGGACTGGGACAAATTAGAATAGTTCAGCTGTCTTGTCGTTGCATCGCTGATCCTGCGTCTCGTTCGTCGATTTTTAGGTGATCTCGTAAGCTCTTCAAACATAGTGTTACATTCACAAGCACTACTTATGGACAGATTTATTTTGTCCAAGATTACATGGTTGATATAATTTTACAGCGGTAACTTTATTGGGAAATCTTCGTAAGCTCATTACCTCATCCTAAGCATTTATCTACATAGAAATGTGTTTGAAGTAATCTATTCCTAATAGCTCGACGAATTTGAAAATAAATTATTGATGTTTCATGACTATGCACGTTGGTTTTCTCCAAATAATCGATCTCAATCGCACACAAGTTTAAAAACGTTAAAGCAAGAAATTAGATCAAAACGTAGATGAAAACAAGATTAAGGATACTACTTCCATAATTATCAAAGGTGAACATTCACGATGCACGTTCCTTGTGTTTGTATGTTACACTGTGGAGTGATTAAATTTGTGCATGTATTTCGTAGCATAACAGGTGAAAAACAAATCATGCAATCTAGATGGATAGGAAGGTTTCTTTTATTGAAGTCTACAAACTTCCTGTAGAGTTTGTGTATTCTTGGACCAATAGGTTTACTTTCTGATTTTGGATACGCAGGTAACAGTTTTGTCTGGATAAAATTCTGCCATGACACAAAACCTTTTGAACTTAATTATTTAAACACATAAACATTGGTACAAGAAGGCACCAAATAGATATGCGCCACGTAAATCATTCGATTTGTGTGAGGGCGAACTTTCTGAACACCGTACCCAAGTATGATTGAATGTGTTTCTCTCGTTTCTTCTGATGAATCTCGAGCTTGGATATCATTCTGTAATTCATATTTCTCGGATTCATTCCTTATATTTGAAAAGTATTCTTTAATGCTTAATCATTTTAATCATTATTAATACTGTAGTTATTTCGACTTTGTTTATCTTGGTAATCTCATATTGTGGTGCATATTTGGTATGGCAACTTGGGCTGACATACATTGGTGTCAAGCTCTGTTGATTATGACTGACTGAAATTCAGTTTTGTGTTGAGACGAAGTGAATTTTGCAATTTATTTGAGAGAAATTGCTAGGGTTGAAGTTATCACAAGTTCACTTAATCCCCAGCAGAAATCATTTTGGAATATGTTTAGTGATTTACAAAGGGTTCTAATCTAGTTCTGCTTTAGGGTTCGTTATAGATAAGACTATGCATTATCTTTACTGATAGCTTGAAAAATAATAGGAAATCACGATACAGTTAAGTTTATCAGGAGGAGTTGAAAACAATGGAGTGACCGAAATCTTTAAACCGTATATCCCTTGATAACAATGGTTCGAAGGAATTTTGTCAAAAGCATTTACTTACCGTCATCCTACTGGGAAATCCATGGGGATTCATTATGATGTCAGGAGTAAGGCCATTCGTTGAGAAAGGCAAATCTTCTTGACGAACAATAAGTCCAACGACTCCTTTTTGACCATGGCGACTGGAAAACTTATCGCCAACTTCGGGTCTTCTAGTTTGACGCAACAATATCTTTACTACTGCTTGGTTTCCTTCTGATGTGGAAAACATAACTTTTTCTACATAGGACGGTTCTATCCCTTTGTAGTCTACGGGACAACGCTTAAATTCCGTCTACCAGATGAAGAAAATGAGAAAGAATATGGTAGGATCAACGGGGAGAGATTTGGGTTCGATGTTGATTTTTTATTAGAAACAAATGAAATAGTAAATGCACCAACTTAAAATGAAGAAATAAACTAGAATAAATCATAAGATTTGTGTCTGAATTTAAATCTAAATACAAAAAATTAATTTCACTTAAAACCATAACCGATGGTGATTTACAATGTTCAAATTAAGTCTAGCGCAAATCAGTAATTAACATAATATCAACTTTGTCAATTCATGAACTAATTTTTGTGAGCTTTTCTCATTCTCCTTTTACAATGTAAAAAACGATGAGTGTTAAAATTATTTAATCATCACAAAGAATGTTACACAAGAAAAGTGGTACATATTTTGTTAATAGCTTAGTACAAGTATTGAAATATGGATACTTTTATAGTTCAACAACACCAATAATTTATATATTGTTTTCAGTATCAAATGAGTTCTCTTGGATTGACACTATTCACTGATTTTCAGAGCATTAATATCAGATACTATCAATTGCGGATTGTTTGTATAAATATAAACAAAATCCCAATATTGCCAATCACTTTCTATTGCCGGTGGTGGGTAACTGTCTCGCACCTAATATGGTTGAACTTCACTGGTCACGACTTCTCATTAGGATTCTGAAAATTTACTTTCGAATTAATCCACTAGTGAGTACATGATAATTATCAATATAGGAGGGTTTATGGAGATTATTGAATGTTATTAAAATCACCAGCGCTTCCTGATCCTTGATTGTCATCTAACTTGGTTCTGTTTGTGATCTCAATCACACTTTGATGAGACACAGAATATTCCCTGTAAAAAGCCCAAAGGGGCCCTGAAAACGCTGGGAAACATTTTATCCAATCTGCGATGAATAGAAATTCTTCACAAACATCTATAAAGTGAAGAGTCACGTATCACATTCCTGAATGGATGATTGACCCATCCTGCTACTATGTTTAGTAAGGTTCCAGAACCTTCTAGAAACCCAATGCCATCTGAAACGCTATAAATATCCTCGTTTTTTTTGTACATAAACGAACCTAGGAGTAAAGCGTTCTTTCCATATTTCGCACCTTTTCTCTCGTGTCGTATAGTGTTAGCCTGGGTTACTAGCAGAGCTTATGAAATAAATTCCAGCGTTCATTCAGAAGATATGTCATATTTAGCAACCATCAAGAACACCATATACTGATGATGTCTCAGCAGTTTACATATGAAATGTAAAAATACAATTATTGGACATAACCGTTCATATCGAATTTGCTCTGAATAGCGAAGCAAATATGTAATGATCATCATCTGGACACTTGGTCACAGAGTTTATTTATAAAACTAATAAGAATGAATGTATTTTGTACTGTATATTCCCTACTAAGATTTTCATAATTAGTTCAGTATTGAGAGAAAAAGCGCAAAATAAGTTACAAGACATAGAATTTACCGCGTTCTCTGGTGTATTCACATTTAAACTAAGCGATCCCGCATTATCCAATACAGCGCTTGAACTAACAACAGGCATTTCCTTATTGATAAGGATTTGACGGTCGTTAACACAAGCGCCAATGTACGCAACTCCATCCGCCTGAAGCACCTCATCTCCACGACGAAGAACGCCGGTCTCTAAGTAGAGCAAAATATAGAGAGATACAGAGTAAAGACTAGAAGGTGGATACAAAGTGTCGACAACAATGTTTTGTATCATGATCTAGATGAAATATTTACCTTTCGTTGATTAAGACAAATAACTGAATGGAACTCTGACGCCTGAAAGAGAGGAAACACCTTGAAACACTAATGTAGAAAAAAGGATACAGCTAAATAATGCCTATTTCAATATGGAAATGCAGAAAATTATCTCACGTATATAGAAATGAATGCTTAAACTATCGTAATAAAGATTCACCGTAAAGAGTCTTCCCAACTGTTGCTGCTACCTTGGCGTGGTGGTCGGGCTTGTCTATCGTGATGAACCAATCAGGCTATACTGGCTGATAACCACCATCATACTTCTAACATTACACAAGACCACTGATCTCATAATTAATTTCCTCTTATACTGACTATCAGATCTAAACTTACTCCTTCGACTTTCTCCTCAAATGTCATCATGGCCACCAACTCTGGTGCACAAATTACTGTCCCAGGTCTACCGAAACCTCGCTCCAAACTACACATTGGAGCCATCAAAATACGCATCCTATGTCGAGTCGGCCAGCAAGCCTCCTTGGCTAAAACCATAATGTCGTGCTATTCATGTGTTCTGTGTCGTCGAAACACGAATACAGGATCCTAGTGTGGTCATCCACTTGACCTCATCTCGCCAAAACGTAGGGCCGAGGAGATACACCCTCTCGTGAACGGACAGGTGTAGGTACAGCACTTAGTACGAGGCCAGAACAAGCACTATTAGGATGGATCCTCGTTAACAGTCACCTATGTGCTGTTCGACTAAACGGCTCCGTAAGAACTCGAAACGATAGGAACACACGTTGTTGCCTTTTCGTTGTTTCTGCCTACGCTCCCAATGACTGCACACCGGATGAAGTGAAAGATGACGTTTACGGAAAACTTTCTGAACTTCTACATAAAGCTAAACACTCCGGCATAGTACTCATAGCAGGTGACTTTAATGCTCATGTAAGTAGCTCAAACCAAATAGAAAGACATTAAGGTGGGTATTTTAGTATTCCAGCTCAGTGAACAGATAATAGTTATCATCTGCGGCGACTGTGCTCAGACGATCGTTTATTTTTAGCAAGCACAAATGTAAGCATAAGGAGAGACATCATCTAACATGGCCCCCTAATGCCCTGGTACGGCCGAGAGTGGGGAGAGTCCGCTCTCCCTCTCGAAATACTCTCACACGGCCGCGCGTATACAGCATCTGCCAGGGAAGTCCTACTCATTGCCTTCTCGTGGCGGGGGTGTTGTTTACGAAAATGAGAGGACGAAAAGCGAATGTCCGGCGCTTTAACCGGATCACAAACCAATGGTGCACATGGGCTCCAGTATCCTGCGGGAACGAATGGCGTATGAACCAATCGTTGGTCACCGGCTACCATGGGACTGCATCTCCTTACGATGCTCCACTGCCTTGTGGGTTAGACCTTTAGGTCAAAGGCTCGGGGAGTGGCCCTGAAGCAGTTTTTCTGAAACCACGTGCACCATTCAAACTGGCTGCCTTCAACGTCCGCACACTTATGCAGGTCGGACAACAGATAGGGCTGGCTATGTCTTTGGAAAGTCTTCATATCGATGTCTGCTGTCTATCCGAGACCCGTATTCAAGACTCTGGCAAAGTACTACAAATTCGATCTCCATCTGTCGCTTCGAAAAGCTTGTTTTACGTGCGCTTATCCGGAGACCCTGTGGCATCTTCGTCTGGTCTTGCTGGCGTTGGTGTCGCACTAAGCGCTAGAGCTGAGGCAGCACTAATCGATTGGATCCCCATTAACAGTCGGCTATGTGCTGTTAGATTAGAAAGTTCCATCAAAGTGAGAAGAAATCGGCGTGAGAAACGATGTCTCTTCGTCATCTCCGCCTATGCCCCGACAGATTGCAGCCCAGATGCAATCAAGGATGAGTTTTACCACCAGTTATCAGTTCTCCTCCAGAAAGTGTATTCGACAGATATTGTAGTACTAGCCGGAAACTTGAATGCTCAGGTCGGGCGTCTAGGCACAGAAGAGAGTCGTTTAGGTGGCCGATGGGGACTCGTTGGTCGCAGGTCAGATAACGGGGACCGTCTACTGCAACTTTGCACAGACCACAACCTGTTTCTGGCTAGCACTAACTTTCGGCACAGTCATCGCCGATGTGCCACCTGGCGTCCTCCCTCTGCATCTCAAGCATGGACTCAGATTGATCACATCGCGATCAGCTACCGCTGGCGTGGTTGTGTGCAAGACTGCCGCTCCTTTTGGAGTACCTATCTGGACTCTGACCATGCCTTGGTCTGCGCCAATCTTGCCTTACTTTTCAGTGGACAACGAAGTGAACGCCATCAACGGATTGATGTTAGCAAGCTGGTTGCAACTTCTGTTGCAAGTAAGTATCGAACCGAGCTAGCCTCTAGGCTAGCTACCACTCCACCGAAAAGTATAGATGAGCATTGGTTGCAATAGCATGACGCCATGAAAATGGCGGGAACAGTCAGTTGTGGGTTTGCGAAACGTCCCGCTTTTAAGCACTGGGTTCCTTCTGGTTCCTTACAACTCATTGAAGCCCGTCGGTCTACTACGGGTGACCGTGAGTTTGACCATAAACGAAGGATGTTACGTGAGGAAATTGGGCAAAGCTTGCGTAAGGACCGAGAAGCCTGGTGGTCGATGCGTGCTAATGAGCTGGAAGCAGCAGCTGCATCTGGTAACTGCCGGAAGCTCTTCCAGCTCATCCGAGCCACTGGCAGCAAGAAGTCTGGTGTGAGTGAAACAATCTGCGAGGATGATGGGATGCCAATCACTAACATCCATCGACGTCTTGGACGATGGGCAGAATTTTTCGAAGGGCAGTTCAACTGGCCTGCTGCTCCGGCAACATCGGTCAGACTGTCCTGCCCTCCATGGCCGGTGACGACTGATCCACCAAATGAGGAGGAAGTCCGCAACGAACTCCAACTCTTGAAGCGTTACAAATCACCTGGCCCAGATGACTTACCTCCAGCTCTTTTTAAAGATGGTGGTGACTTTTTGACTAAGGAATTGACGACGCTGTTTACAAAGGTTTGGGAACTAGAGAGTGTACCAACGTCATGGAATGAGTCGATAGTTGTCCCTATCTTTAAAAAGGGTTCACGTCGTTCTTGTAACAACTATCGGGGGATAAGTTTACGTCCGATTGCGTCCAAGCTATTGGCTTCCGTCATTCTTCGTAGGTTGTTCAAAACCCGAGAAAGATTGACTCGCGAGGAGCAGGCTGGGTGTCGTTCTGGTCGAGGATGTATTGATCATATCTTCACCCTCCGCCAAATGTTAGAACACCGCCATACTTTTCAAAGGCCAACAATCGTAGTGTTTCTTGACATCAGGGCTGCCTTCGATTCGTTGGATAGGACTGTTCTCTGGGATTGTCTATTGAAGAAGGGTGTGCCTGAGAAGTTTATTAACATCCTAAAAGCCCTGTATAAAAACACCTCAGGCAGAGTGAGGGCATACAACCACCTCTCTCCATTGTCCCATTCAAGCAGTGGGGTTAGGCAGGGTTGCCCAATCTCACCATTCTTCTTCAACTTTGCCATCGATGACATTCTGGAAACAGCTCTGATGAATGTAAGTAATGGTGGTGTGGATCTGTTGCCTGGAGAAAGACTTCTCGACCTTGAGTATGCGGACGATATTGTCTTACTGTGCGATAATGCCCAAGGCATGCAATCCGCACTTAATCAGTTGGCAATCAGTGTCCGTAGGTATGGTATGTGCTTTGCACCTTCGAAGTGCAAAATACTTCTACAAGACTGGCAGGATTCCAATCCTGTACTCACCCTGGATGGTGAGCAGATAGACGTAGTCGAGAAGTTCGTGTATCTGGGTAGCTGCATAAGTGCTGGTGGTGGCCTGACTGATGAGATCAATGCACATATAGTGAAAGCCAGAGCGGTTTATGCCAATCTGGGCCATTTTTGGCGCCTTCGTGATGTCAGTCTAGTTGTAAAAGGTCGGATCTACAACGCGTCGGTGAGAGCAGTTTTGTTCTATGCTTGTGAAACCTGGCCTCTCCAAGTTGAGGACGTTAGACGACTCTCTGTGTTTGATCATCGCTGTCTCCGAAGGATTGCTGACATTCAGTGGCAACACCATGTCAGTAATGCAGAGGTTCGGCATCGTGTGTTCGGGCACAGAGATGATAACTCAATTGGTGTCACCATCTTGAAACACCGACTTCGGTGGCTTGGACATGTTCTACGAATGTCGTCCCAGAGAATTCCATATCGTGCATTATTTGCCGACTCTGGGACTGGTTGGAAGAAGCGGAGAGGTGGTCAGTGCATGACATGGTGTCGTGGCATGAAAGAAAGCTGCAAAGGACTGGCTTGTGTTGGTCCTTCACGACTCCCTGGCTGGGGTCCGAGAGATGGTGCTACACAGTGGCTAGAGACGTTATCAGATATGGCTCAGAATAGAAGCCAGTGGCGATCCTGCTGTAACCTTCTTTTACTTTCTTCATAAAAAGTGGTTGTGTCTCCTTTACCTGAAAGATTTCTTCTGATTGTACCTTTTCGTTCCGTCGTTACTACCACACTACCTTACTACAATCTCTTCGTCATTGTTCTCTTTTTCTTTTGCGTTCCTTAGTTTTTTTTTTCTACTTCTCTTCGAATTTTCATTGTTTTGTGTGGCGCATATATATTGGCGCTCTATTGTACCAATATTTATGTGTTCAAATAAAATAAAAGGCCTAGTAGAACGATAATTAGAAGTGGTAAGATTGACTGCTGGCTTATTTGGACACATACTTTGTATGGTAAAAAGCAGTAGTAACTGAAGTGTAAATGAAGGAACATAAGAAAATAATGATACACAACGAATATAACGCATCAGGCAACATTTAAGAAAGTTACTGTTCACCTACCTCGCTCTATGCTAGGGCCCATTAAGCGATCGTAAACTGCATTTTCATGCATTTTGAGATGAACACCCGACCGACGATAAACACAAGCACGAGCAAAACCTCGATCAATTGAAGCCTGGTTAATAACCAATGCATCCTCAACGTCATACCCAGAATAAGACATTATTGCTACAACTGCATTTTGACCGGCAGGGAGCTGATGTGAATAAAGTACAAAATACGAGACGGTGTAGACGTGAGAACATTAAATCATATTCACTATTTAGACAAACGACCATTAAAATTAACATGATTCATAACAAGCTATATAATTTCTAAACTGTAAAATAAAAAGGAAACAAATGCAAATCACACCCTTATCGTCAATCATGAATAATAAATCATCTTAAGATCTTTAGGGTTATAAGTGACGAACATATATATATATATATTCTCTATAATGTGATCAAATCATATTATTCACTACGAAATAAACTGGATTAACTACTCATAAAAGGCATAAACTGATACTGTTTACCTGCTCTCTTAGTAGTGCTCAGTGGTAAAAGTTGGTTTAGTATCATATGGAAAAAAAATTGGTTTGAATAAGATTATACACAGAGAGCATATTTTAACGTTAAGTAAAAACAAAACTGCTAATTATATGACAAAAGCTTACCTCATCAAAATGCATCATTTGAATAGTTTTCGACTGAACAAGGGGTTTTTGAGGGTAGACCATTTGACATTGAAGCGTATCAAAACGGATTTGCTGATTAAGTGCAACAGTGCCGATAGCTTGCTTACCCATAGCACATTGATAAGTATTTCGGGGAGACTATAATATTTGAAATGGAAATAATGAGAATATTTTATCAAATATACACCATAAAAAAGAAAAGAACACTCACTCTTTCTTCCTGTACTATATCTCTATATGCAATCTTTCTCTTATATATTACTACCTTTGACCTAACCACTGCTATGAATCCGGTGTTCATCTTGTTGTGCTGATGCGGTATGGCAACCTGGACCGATGCACATATGTGCCTGGTCCTACGTTGTAGCTGACTGACTCACTCACTCACTCAAGCATTCATTAAATGTTGAAATTGTAAACATAAATTACTAATTTTATATCTCTTAGAAGATTCTTTGCAATAAAACCAGTAAGAAGAGTAAACGAAAAGCTCTTTTAAGTAAAAAGTATATATATATATATATATATATATATATATATATATATATATATATATATATATATATATATATATATATATATGGAATAAAAGTTAAAGAAACAGTTATGTTCAATCAAGTGTATGTAAACGGAACTATCAAGGATAGTTACACCGAGAGTAACATGTTTTGTGGTATATTAGCAGAAAAAGCTATTTGCGCTGGACATGATATTATTATTATTATTAATGGCTTTATTCAATATTATCTTTTTGGTACAATATAGAATTCTCAGCACAGGGTATTTCAACAAGTTACTTACTGAACAACGAACAAAAAGGCAGTAGCAAGCACAAAAAGAAATAAAAAAAAGGTTTTTAAAAAAAAACCCAAAAAAACCGTACAAACTTTTTAAAATTAAAGACATGTTAAGAATGTAAGTTATTGACTAGGTTAATTCTAACAACCTGTTCGTCACAGAGTATATTTGCTAGGTAAGGTATTATAGAACTTTTATACTTTTCCTTGCGTGCATGGATTTTAATGTAATTACGTCTCGTTCTACCAGAAGATATACAAGGAGAAAGATAAGAGTGAAGGGGATGGCTAGTATCTGATAAAATGACACCTGCCAGGAGTTTGCATGATTTTAAATGTCTATCCACAACCATATTAATTATGACCTCGAAAGATTCACCACACACCTTGCTAACTGCCTTCAGCACTCTTCGCAATACAGCAAAGTCTTTTCTCAAAAGCCCGGGAAAGAATAATGGAGAACAGTAAAGAATAATAGGTAATATGCAAGAATTGACAAATTGTAAGAGTAAATGACGAGTAATTCCAAGAGCATGCAATCTCTTTATGTAGTAGGTCAGACGGAAAATCTTCTTCGATAACGATAAAACGTGGGAAGACCAAGACAGATCAGAGGAAAAGGTGACACCAAGATAATTGACCTTCGACACTGAGTTTATCAAAGAGTCTCCGATGGTACAAGCACAATGGGATCTCAAAATGGTGTTCAGATTCCGTTCATGTCTCATGCTAAAGTTAACAGCTTGACATTTAGACGGATTAAGTATGAGACCATTACCAACAGACCAACAATCAATACGAGACAAAAACTCATTCATTTCTATGGGATGTAAAGAGGAAGATATAGGCATACATACAGTGAGATCATTCGCATACTTCACAAGTGTTTTCAGTGGAAGATGGCAGGTCATGCAGAAAAAAGGAGAATAGAAGAGGTGAAAGAACAGCTCCTTGTGGTACACCTTCATGAGACAGTAGAGACTCTGATCTCTTTCCTCCAAACACAGTGTACTGTTCCCTTCCAGAGAGGTAGGAACATAGCCAGTTCGTTATCCAGCTGTCAGTGTTGACGCTGATTAACTTGTTAAGTAAACGTTGTCTTGGTATAGAGTCAAAAGCTGAAGTATAGTCCAGAAAAGCACATCGAACATACTTCTTACCCTTTTCTAAGTTGAACACTATGTTGTGATGCAGAACTGCAACAGCATCTAAAGTGCTTCTTTTGCGCCTGTATGCAAACTGGTATGGGTCAGTATGCTCTTTTATCGCAGGCTGAAGTGGAAGTATTAATAATTTTTCCATGGTTTTGAGGAAGGGTGAAGTTATTGCAATAGGTCTAAATTTTACATTCTTATCACCAAATGCTTTCTTGGGTATAGGAATTATCTTCATCTTTCTCCACATTTTCGGTATGAGATTAGATGAGAAGGATCTGTTAAATATAGTTGTGAACAGATGACACAGAACGTCAGCACATTTTTTAAAAAGGATGTTTGGGATACCATCAGGTCCCAAACATCGAGATGAATTAAGCGACTGGAGACATCCTCGTACATCAGTTTCAGTGAAAGTAGGAACACAGCTATTTTTTAAACCCGTGGATAGAGGGAGCATCACATCAGATGACTGACGTACAAAAGACTTATTTAAGTCACAAACATTCAGCTGGTTATCGCTTCTAAACTTTCTGTCATCTGTAAGTTCTTTAAAGAATTTCCACATACTTGGAGAGTTTTTGCAAGATAAGAGCTTTCGAGTAAACATACAGTTGAGACGTCTAATCTCTAGGTTTATCAGACTATTTAGTTTACGAACTTCATCAGAGTTCTTCTCCTTGTACATTCTTTCTTTCACCCTCCGTAGTCGTTTTAGTTGTGAAGATGTAAGTCGATCAAAACTTACAAAAATGGTTTCAGTGGGACAACAAATATCAAAACAGAATTTAAGGTAACAAGTGATAACATCAGTAGTGTTTTCGAGTGAGTCATCTGTAAATAATTCCCAGTTAGTCGTATGAAACATGTTTTTCAGATTTCGGATATTTTCTTCTGAGTAATTCCTATATTTGACTTTCCTGGTTTGACGTAAGAGTGTACTCTTCCCATGCTTTCCATATACTTTAGGTAGAACACGAATTATACAGTGATCTGAGCTAGACAATGGAGCACGTTTACGAGTCGCATATATACCCACATCATTAATGAAGACGAAGTCTAGATGAGCATCCAAACGGGTAGGAAAATCCACTACATTTTGGCGACCTAGTGACGTAAGGAAGCTACAGTCACACGAATTGAAATCACCACATACAACTGAAAGTGAATCACTGAAGGCAGTAACAGCGAACTCAGTGAATTCATCAGCAAAAACAGATAGTGCAGATGATGTGCAATCTGGAGTCACGTAGATATTGGTAACATAAACATATTTGTATTTATTCAGATGTTTTGGACGACATCTTAGAGTTAGACAGTCGATAAAGTCATTTGAAAACTTAAAACACACAAACGAAGATCGACACCAGTTTATGTTTACAAACGTAGCTACACCGCCACCACACCTCTTTTTATTGTTCGATCGATCCTGACGATAAATTTTAAAATCACGTAGTGATACAAGGCAGTCATCCTGTAAATCATTCAACCACGATTCTTGAATTGTGATGACACCACAATTACGATACGTATTTTGACTAAGTAGGAATTGCAGATAGTCCACTTTGTTGATTAGTGATCGGCAGTTAGAATTTAGTAGCTCGGGAATTGACATACGATTAATGTTCATTCTCTTTAACGCATATTGCCAACCACCACGATGCCTTTTATAGTACTTTTTCGTAACTTGTGCAGCGAAAGGTCGTAGGCTTTTCATAAAAGCGCCTGAATAGGTTATGCGATTAATGGACATAATTATAAATTAAAACAAATGAAAACAGATAACTTGTTGAAATAATCAGATGGCAGAAACAGGTGGCCCAGATATTCAAGCAGGCCGCCTGTAGTAATAACAGTAATAATAATACTAATAGTAGTAATGGTAATAAGAATAATAATACTGTAATGTACCTGTGCTCGTGATTGTCTACCACGAGACTAGATACCCGATCGATAAGCTATACACAGACTAGAATCACGTTATACCGGATAAAGGATTCACGATCAAATAAAGAGAACCAGAATATAGGCTAAACCATATTTTATTTAACACAATTACAAGTAGTCTATACCCAATGAGTTCAGAATCGACATCAATAATCAAGAGTTCACACTAAACAGTAAGTAACCTGAGTGTCTGTCTGTATTCTCTCAGTGGTCAATCATAGCTTACTTTCACTGACCACACATCAATTAGTCATGTGCTTTTTAATTAGGACGCCGTGAAAACAATAAACACGTCAGGTTTTTAATGACTTTTAAATAATTATTTCAACACAAATCATGTTTTACGGTTTGGTAAAGAGATAACAGCTATCACCGTACCTATAGGATCTAGGGTACCTTAAATAAAGCCTATATTAAATAATTCAAGAGATTATTTATTTAATAAAGTAAAGAACAAAGTTTACTTGATTGTGATCCGGATAAGGAATTAAACCAGCAACGACACCTAAAATTGTGGCGGGGTCGATTTCCATATGAGTATAGTGATTACCGTCGGTTAAACAGGACTCGTCCATTGCAACCAGACAATCGTTGAGTTCATTAACATCCAAATATTCAACTAACCCTTTTTTCAATAGATCATCCCAATTTAGAACATTGTGGCGTAAATCCTACAAGTAGTAATTAGTCATGTCAAAACACAATTTAAAAATACATCAAATGAATCAAGGTACCAATTTATTGGATGACCGGAGAAATTATGACCCAAATTAATCAAAGTAATAACATATTTTATTAATGCAGAGCAAGACACATTAACAGAACCAGGATGATCAAATGTTTGGGACAGTGAATGCAACTAAAGTTATGGGATTCACGTCATCAGATAATATTTAATTACCCTGTGAATAAAACAACCGAAAAATCCTTCACTACTACATATACATAATTTAGAGGAAATCATTATTATCAATAAATACATAACGTTTGTTGGTACTCAAAGTTTCAAACTGGTCTGAGTAGTACATCACCAACCTCAAAGCGTTGCCGTTGTACTCGATTTCACTTACTTTGATTCAGATAACCAGATACTACCACTTGTTTTCACAATCGTAAAAACCTAATCAATGACAGACAATATATATTGGTAGAATTCGCTAGCATTAACAAAATGTAATTGTCATAACTCCTCTTTACTAGCAATTTTACGACTACATTTGGTAATTCCTGAAAAGTAGGTCATAACCTGACAGCATACTTACTTAGTAATCTCTATATCGACTGAATTATGTGAAGCACACTTGGCACTCTAGTTAGAAAAAAATGTCGCCACAACAACTCACCTGAAGAACAGATTCCGTTACGAGTGGTCTTCCATTGCACAGAATAATATAAGGCCTGCAGAATCTGCCACCATCACTAACGACATGAACGCACTGATAAGCTTGCTTGATATAAACAGAAACAAAGCCGTGAATTCTACCCGAACGCCGAAGACCTCTAATCAAAACACATAGTTTCCCAGGGTGTTGAGTGAATCCAATCGGTTTTCCATTTACATATATTACGTACCTGAAATTTATTAGATATTAAGGAATGTATCCGCGACTAACATAGTAAATATTTTTATGTAAAACTGTTGAAATAATGACAGTAAGAAAGAAACAATGTGGAACCTAGCTGATAAAACGACCAAGAAGTAGGTCTAACATTTAGGTCCTATGTACTGGGAAGTGTTTTGAAGTACAAAACTGATTTCCTCTAATTACTTATCCCATCTAACCATGTTTACTTGCCTGTTAATTATTTGTACGTAAGCATACTAGCAGTCAACACATTTGTGGACTTATCCTGTCTATTTTTCCGTACATCATCAGTATTTTTCCAAATTTGTTTTTTTGACAGGAAAATCGCAACTATACAAATGTAATATATCCACTAGGGAACACATCTAATCACTACAGAGCAGCGGGGTTAGTAACCTAAGCAATCGATTTAGAAAGCTTATCAAGAAATCTATATCTAACATGTACACTTCAAAGAGTGAATCTCTTATGCACAATCAGTGATTTCAAGTCATCTATACTCAACTGGTGGTAATCTGCACATATCGTCTGCTTTCGTAGACCACTTGTCAAGATGTCGCTCGTCACTAACCCACCGGAAGTAGTGAAGCTTCTGAAGTACATGAAGTAATCAGTAAACTCAACTACCTTAATCTCTTTATTTAGGTTAGGCATTTACGGATACAACCTTACGAATACAGCCTTTACAGGGCAGGAAACGGAGACAAAACATTCCTGGACTTTGAGATGGTGGAGAAGATTCGTAGCTCAGGTGGATGATTTTGATGGATTTTCGTTCTCTGAGCTGGATGGCTTGATCGTGAAGCTTTCAGAAGATTATTTCTCCAGAGTGCTTATCACACAGAACCTTATCATTTCTGCGTTATAAGTTCATGAGAGGGATTTCAGATAGATTTATCTGTTAAAAGTGGAAAGGACGCTTCACTACCTTTACTAGTATCTATATGACAAAATTAAATAAAAGTGTAGCGCGAGAGCGAGCCTCAAGTACAATAATTTAGGTGACCCATTCGAGCGACAATTTACCCAATTCTGATAATTGATTAGTTCACAGTAATCGTAAAATTCAACTATGCTGTTGCAAAACAGCTATAAACAGCAATACAAATTGAAGGTATGAATGAGATGGCAGGCCTGAAAAATCCACTTGGATTAGATAATTGGTTCAATAAATTTATTAGTCAGAGGAAAATGTAAATTAAAGTAATATTATTAAAAGGCGAACATCAACATACTCATTTTTAGCATATCTCATCTGGTAGAGTGGAAATGTATAATAGTTGCTAATTAGCTCAATCAAATGTGCATCGTCTACTTCGACCGTAACATGACACATGAGAGCAACATTTTTAACAAGTCCACAAGCTTCCCCTTCAGGTGTGTCAGATGGGCAGATAAGACCCCATTGGCTTGCATGAATAGAACGTGGACCAGAGACCTATAGTAAGAAAAACGATATTCTGTATAGCAATGTAAACAATCCATTATTACGAAGAAATCGAAAACATTTATCCGTTGCACCTAGTAAAACAACACTTGAGGAGCGCATAAACTATGATACTATATGACGCGAATAGGGAGTAGAACGTATTACAATGATTCATCTTACTTTGTCTTAGTGATTTCAGAAAACATTTTTGCGTGTTTACATTATCTCTATTTAACTTAGCTAGAGACTACGAATATATTTTCTTTGGAAAAAAATACTGCATACAGAAAAATTCTAGGGTTATGTTTTTTACACAAGTGAATAATGGTGTTCGTAGTCTTTTTTTACAGAGAATTGACGAATAGCAGTAGAGACGAGTCGTGAAGCATACATTTTTGTAATGCTTTTCGATAGTGACTATAGTTAAAGTGTAAAACGCACATTTCACCCTACACAGGACTTGTCAGCTCGATGTAACTGAATCCAACAGCATTCGTCGATCTGTTTACCGACTATGGTACTTACTTCTGTTTGAGACTGATCGAATTCGTTGTTAAATATGGACAATAGTAAAATACAAACCCTTACAATTAGCAGTAATAATTTTATTCCTCATCAATCACACTTTCCAAAGACTAACCTTACGAGTTTTTTCAAATTGGCTCGTCATTCGAGTCATATGTCCTAAGGCAGCAACGTAAGATAAACGGCTAACAACTTGTGTAACACCATGTCGCATCATACGGAATCGTTTTATGATCCAATTTCCAGAAGAAATTGCTCTATTTAACTGTTCGGTTATCATCCACGTTTTGATATGTCGAGATATATCAAAAGGTGTACATCGGCGTTTTGTATCAATCTTGGACACTGTTAACCAGAGATCTTCGTTAAATGTCTTGAAGACGTCTTCGAATAAAAGGGCCAGCAAGCTACCAGCCAATTCGATACGTTTGTTCCCATAAAAATCCCGATCATCTGGCTAACAATCATAAAATTGATTTATTTTGAAAATTGATATACATATTTAAAAATATGCATGGAAAAAATTAATTAGAAGATATTATAGAAGATTGAAACAGAAACGTACAGAGTATGAGGGGATAGTTATGTAAGTCCCAAGTAACTTGGAAGAAATTTATGTTAGATCCCTTCTAAAACGTATACGTAAAACTTGTGGAAATGTTTACATCGGAGCCTTTAAACGTTACTACCGAATAATAGGTCGTTTAAGATAGGATATTAGTATGCTTCATTTGTTAGGAAAATAAAAAACAATTCTACCTGGGATGATATCCAACGATGGACCTTTAAGAGGTTAGAATCTTCGTCCTCACAAATCAAGAAGATTGAGGCCAGTAAAACAATACATAATACACGATATTGGTAGAAATAATCTGTTTTAATTACGTCTTATTAAGTGACCAGCTGGAAAAAAATGAGGATGAGAATAGAAAATACTAAAAAAGGGTTGTCCAAGGTAGGACTTTCCCAATAATTTCTCAACTAACAAATTATTTTGTTGAAAGTCCCAGTTACTCAAGCCAAACCCTTAAATCTAACAATTAATGATAATTGTAATAGCAACACTAGCGAGCCTGAGTTTTAGTGAGCAAACAAGTTTCTTTAAAGGCGTTGATAAATTAGGAATTGATAGGGCTAAAGTTTTGCCACCACAAATGTTCAGATAAATTTGTTGGTCAAATTCAGTCCTGGATGTCAACCTTAATAAATAATAAATATTGGAACCATTGGATGACGTGTGTGACTATCATAACATATTAGCTTAATGAGTGACTCGTCGGTGCTTGAGGCGATAGATTTTCAGATTAAATCTTAGTGTGAACATTAACACTAGGATGAATTTACATCAACCCGGTGAGTTTCAAATAGAACTAAATGAGTCTTGGATTTCATTGTTGATCATTATCTAAAACAATCGAATTTCATATGTTACGTATAAGACAATTTCGGTATTTCATGACATTCATTTTTAAAAATACTCTATTGCTACATATCCCAGGAAAGTTGGCGATACATTAACCCTAACCTTGAATCTCGGTTTTAGCGATGAGCGAAAATTTCTCAGTGATACCATAAAGTGTGAAAATAATTCAATCTTAATTGGTTAAATTATGAAACGTAATCACAAGTTTTTGGTCTGGAAGAGGTACATTGAACACTGATCCCCAAAATGTCGAATTTCTCCTCAAACAATTACTTCAATGGAAGCTATTAAGAAGGTTTCAACTACTTCCAGGACATGGAGTTACTGCTGGAATTTCTAGTATCAGCTATTCAGATTCCAAAGAGAACGCCGTAAGTACACGAATGTACGACGACATTAAAAAACATTATAGATTCCGGTTTTATCCTCTGAAAGAAGTTACAATAAATGAGAAAATAAGTATGCGAATAATAAGCATTGATACAAAATACTGACTTCAAAGATTGGCTCATGATAATCACATCAGTCAGTAGGACAATGACTTGAAATACACTTACACCGATTAAAAACAGGATGGTTTTTAGTTTAGTGTTCATATGTCATTAAATGAGCAAAGAAACGTTTATCCTTCTATCACTTAACTAAGTATTTGTAAAAACCTTTTGTCGCGATCATCATTAGTCGAACCATTTATCCCATGAAATAAACTTATTTACGTTTACTATTCATTCTGGTTTGGTTTTATAAAATTAATTTACGTACTGCAAATAATCAAACGTTTACATTTTTTCTGAACAAATTTGAATTCTTTATCCTGGTTTGCTTTGTTTTCAAACAGGTATATATCTAAATGTTAAAAATTTGACTCCTATGAGAAAATGTAATCCCATATGTAGGCTTGTATGCCGAACCGAATAACAGTTATTGTGCTGAGGAGAGAGATAACCTTCGACGAACTATATCTTTGTGCGTTGGATTACATTTTCACAAACGACTCAATGATTGAAAGTTGATCTCACGTTACTAAGATACTAAATTGGTAGCATTAAACTCCACTGAATAAGAACTTTAGACAGTCAGTGAGGAACTTTACGATTTCATTATAAACAGGGCTGTGCATAAGCATTTAGAACCTTGCACAACTGGTAAGAGTTATCAAATCTAAACTATCCACTTAACACATAAGACATTCGTAAATAAAAAAATAACCGGAAACATATGAGGTTAAAAATACACAAATACGAATCACTGTTGTAAAACTTACTAAACAACTTGGATTTATATGTACACACATCAATTTTAACGTAAAGAAGGATAGGAACGCCCTGTTGAGATATTTTATGCTGAGAGTTCCACCTCTGTATTAAACATATGATATTGAATAAAGAGATTATTGCTATTATAGATGACTGTATTCTTTAAAAAAAGCCCTTCATCTACGCAAATTTATTAGTAGGGACAAACTAGAGCTTTTAATCCTTAATTTTAGATATGAAATCCATACTTGCAACTAAGTGTACCTGAGACAAATCAGTCCTAAACGCAGCCAAATAGATTGAAATACTAGTTTAGGGTAAAACACCTCATGGTCAACACTTGGTTAACCCACAATTAAGTTCAATTATTCCAAGCCCCGAATGCACTGGGATGGCTGAGAGTGGGGTGGGCCCGCCCTCCAACTCGAAAGGCTCTCACGCGACCACGCGTAACAAGCCTTTGCCAGGGAAGTCCTACTCACTGCCTTCTCGAGGCGGGAGTGTTGTTTATAAAAATGAGAGGACCAAAAGCGAATGTCCGGCGCTTTAACCGGATTCAAAACCAATGGTGCACATAGGCTCCAGTATCCATGAGGGAACAAATGGCGTATAAACCAGTTGTTGGTCACCGGCTACAATGGGACTGCATCTCCTCACCATGCTCCACTGCATTGTGGATTAGACCTTTAGGTCAAAGGCACGGAGTGTGACCCCCTAGGAAGACCATCTGCTTTGTTCTGGGAACCCGGGCAGTGTCACAGACCACACACAAATCAAATAAAAGGACTATATTTACTGAAAATACTATTCACGTTTCGATTAAAAGTCAAACAATTCAAATCATTATTATTTTTTACGTAACTTATTCACTCTCATTCCCGCTCTATGTATCCTTATTTTTCGACTTATACAGTAGCTCGCTTATGGTGGAAACTCGGTTCTATCTAAACGCTCTCGAGCCACTGCCTGATTGAAAATTGTATGCTACCACCAAATACGAATACTGAAGCAGTTTTTCTGAAACCACGTGCACCATTCAAACTGGCTGCGTTCAACGTTCGCACACTTATGCAGGTCGGACAACAGATAGGGTTAGCTATGTCTTTGGAAAGTCTTAATATCGACGTCTGTTGTCTATCCGAGACCCCTACTCAAAACTCTGGTGAAGTACTACAAATTAGCTCTCCATATGTCGCTTCAAAAAGCTTGTTTTACGTGCGTCTATCCGTGGACCCTGTGGCATCTTCGTCCAGTTTTGCTGGCGTTGGTGTCGCACTAAGCGCTAGAGCTGAGGCAGCACTAATCGACTGGATCCTCATTAACAGTCGGTTATGTGCTGTTAGATTAGAAAGTTCCATTAGTCACTGCTTCCCACATTCACAGCCACATTTGGCCAAATTTTGTACAAATGTTATTTTCTACTTTATGCTACGTTGTGGTCTGTTTGATTGGTATATAAACTCAGTATGTTTGAAATATAAGGATTCATATCGCAGAGGCTCGGATTGGTGTTCTGGACTTAACTGGCTGGGCTAGGCGGAAAGGAGGACCAATCAGAACTCTAAGCTGCTCATACGGGTTTACGCGTCATTGATCCGATCGATAAGTCACTAATCGGTGGTCACAAGTTATAACAATTGGAGACGGGGATGGGACTCGAACCCACGCGGGGAAACCCCAAGTCATAACACCTGTGAAGACTGATCAACCAAATGAGGCGGAAGTCCGCAACGAACTCCAACTCTTGAAGCACTACAAATCACCGGGTCCAGATGACTTACCTCCGGGCCTTTTTAAAGATGGTGGTGACTTTTTGACTAAGGAATTGACGACGCTGTTTACAAAGGTTTGGGAACTAGAGAGTGTACCAACGTCATGGAATGAGTCGATAGTTGTCCCTATCTTTAAAAAGGGTTCACGTCGTTCTTGTAACAACTATCGGGGGATAAGTTTACGTCCGATTGCGTCCAAGCTATTGGCTTCCGTCATTCTTCGTAGGTTGTTCAAAACCCGAGAAAGATTGACTCGCGAGGAGCAGGCTGGGTGTCGTTCTGGTCGAGGATGTATTGATCATATCTTCACCCTCCGCCAAATGTTAGAACACCGCCATACTTTTCAAAGGCCAACAATCGTAGTGTTTCTTGACATCAGGGCTGCCTTCGATTCGTTGGATAGGACTGTTCTCTGGGATTGTCTATTGAAGAAGGGTGTGCCTGAGAAGTTTATTAACATCCTAAAAGCCCTGTATAAAAACACCTCAGGCAGAGTGAGGGCATACAACCACCTCTCTCCATTGTCCCATTCAAGCAGTGGGGTTAGGCAGGGTTGCCCAATCTCACCATTCTTCTTCAACTTTGCCATCGATGACATTCTGGAAACAGCTCTGATGAATGTAAGTAATGGTGGTGTGGATCTGTTGCCTGGAGAAAGACTTCTCGACCTTGAGTATGCGGACGATATTGTCTTACTGTGCGATAATGCCCAAGGCATGCAATCCGCACTTAATCAGTTGGCAATCAGTGTCCGTAGGTATGGTATGTGCTTTGCACCTTCGAAGTGCAAAATACTTCTACAAGACTGGCAGGATTCCAATCCTGTACTCACCCTGGATGGTGAGCAGATAGACGTAGTCGAGAAGTTCGTGTATCTGGGTAGCTGCATAAGTGCTGGTGGTGGCCTGACTGATGAGATCAATGCACATATAGTGAAAGCCAGAGCGGTTTATGCCAATCTGGGCCATTTTTGGCGCCTTCGTGATGTCAGTCTAGTTGTAAAAGGTCGGATCTACAACGCGTCGGTGAGAGCAGTTTTGTTCTATGCTTGTGAAACCTGGCCTCTCCAAGTTGAGGACGTTAGACGACTCTCTGTGTTTGATCATCGCTGTCTCCGAAGGATTGCTGATATCCAGTGTCAACACCATGTCAGTAATGCAGAGCTTCGGCATCGTGTGTTCGGGTGCAGAGACGATAATTCAATTGGTGTCACCATCTTGAAACACCGACTTTGGTGGCTTGGACATGTTCTACGAATGTCGTCCCAGAGAATTCCACGTCGTGCATTATTTGCCGACTCTGGGACTGGTTGGAAAAAGCAGAGAGGTGGTCAGTGCATGACATGGTGTCGTGGTATGAAAGATAGCTGCAAAGGACTGGCTCCTGTTGGTTCTTCACGACTCCCTGACTGGGGTCTGAAAGATGGTGCTGTGGTGTGAGCTACTTATATTGATATAAGTAGTATATAACGTGCGTTAAAAGAACGTAATGTCCGGCAGCAGAAGATGGCGAAGATCAAGAAAGGAAGAGCAAGAGCACAATGGAATTGTAAGAAAACGCATGTACAATGGAATGGGCGACAATGGATTAGTGTTTGCAACGGGAACAGTACAGTTTGATATGATTGAATGATATTTTGCAAATTGACGATTGACTTTATGGTATTCACATTTTATTGAGATAGTCTGTAATTTTTGTGCTAAATACAATCGATTGTCCCCACCCGTGTTCTTCTTCACTACATTTGGTGTCGCTGCCAACCAGGAGAGGAGGAGTGTGCTGTTCTGCGGACGCCGTTGCGGGCCTGGAGTTGAGGTGCCAGTTGGGGCAGTCTGGTGAAGTGTCCGGCGGGGCTGCGTTGGCTGTAGCGGGTGCTGTCGACGAAGTGGAGCGTTGGGACGCGCGGCTGCTGGGCGGACATCGGATGTGGATGGCTCAGCAGGCCGGTGGAGTGCGGATGTCAAGCGTCCCAGGTGCCGGGTGGATGTTGGTTGTTGTTGTTGCCCCGGCAGGTCGACAGAGCTGTGGAAGTCAGCGCGCCGCAGTTTCGACGGAGAGCGTGGCACAGACTGCAGAGACGGAGAATGTTGCACGGCGAGCATGAACTACCACAAGAACGACTGCTTTAAGGGGGGGACGAGTGTGGTGTGAGCTACTTATATTGATATAAGTAGTATATAACGTGCGTTAAAAGAACGTAATGTCCGGCAGCAGAAGATGGCGAAGATCAAGAAAGGAAGAGCAAGAGCACAATGGAATTGTAAGAAAACGCATGTACAATGGAATGGGCGACAATGGATTAGTGTTTGCAACGGGAACAGTACAGTTTGATATGATTGAATGATATTTTGCAAATTGACGATTGACTTTATGGTATTCACATTTTATTGAGATAGTCTGTAATTTTTATGCTAAATACAATCGATTGTCCCCACCCGTGTTCTTGTTCACTACAGTGCTACACAGTGGCTAGAGACGTTATCAGATATGGCTCAGAATAGAAGCCAGTGGCGATCCTGCTGTAACCTTCTTTTACTTTCTTTATAGAAAATGGTTGTTTCTTCCTTAACTGAAAGATTTCTTTTGATCGTACCTTTCCGTTTCCCCCATCACTATTATTATTATTACACTACCTTACACTAATCTGTGGTTGTTAATGTTCTTTTTTTCTTATACGCACCTTACCTTCTTTTTCTCTTCCCATTCTCATTGTTTTGTATGGCGCATATATATTTGGTGCCCCCTTTTACCAATATTTTTGTGTTCAAATAAATAAATAAATAATTCCAAACTGATGGTTTTTGTTAGAATTTGGAATGAAATCTAATTAAAACAGGACATGAATTAGGTAACATAAAAAATAATAGCTCCCATTAAAAAAACTATGGATTATTTGTATCTTTTATGAAAAATAACGAAACTACGAACATTAGGTAACGAAGCTTTATTTACAATACTTATCATTGGCGTACCTTACGTTTATGTACCCAGCAAATTGACACTTAAGTTTTAAAACTTACACGTCTAGAGGAGAATATAATTTACTGGCCAGGTTAAAATGCAACACGAAGTGCATGGAAATGGATTCATGATTATATGAGTTAATATAAGTGATATGTATTCTTAATTATTTTTACATTAGCTGAATTCAGTTTCACTACTTTATCACACCTGTTTCAACATGTTTTACCATCGAAAAAAAGATTTACAATTTTTCTATTCATGAGATAAAGTAACTGATTTGATGAACTGCATATAACTCAAGTTATATGATGAAATAGGACTTACAGGAATACGTTTTTCGTTGGCTAGTATTAAATAACGAACCATCTGACCCAAGAAGAATGCACGCGGCGCAAAGTTAAGTTTTTCCATTTCAATATGTGTAATAATTATATCTCGTAAAAATCTCTGTATTTCTAAGATAATATCTGTCTCTAAAATATTAGCAGCAGTTCGTAGCGTCCTACTAGCTCCGAAAGCAGTGCGATATCGAGGTTGTCTTAAACGTGAATGTAACCAATTGCAAGCATCTAAGCAGGTATGGATCTGAAAAAAAGAAAATCCAAAGTTGAGTGATTTTAACAACTTTGAGTACACTTTAAAGATGAAACCATTTACAAAATAACTTTCGTTATCATTTCACATTAATGGATCATACTATTTCACTTCGGAGTGAAACGATGGCTGCAGTCAAGAGTCAACTGAATTCGTGAATAACAGAACCAAGCACGACAACAATTAATCAATTGTAAAAGCCAGTTTCAGTATCCTTTTTAACATGGAGGAGTTATCAACGTTGTGAACCATTGGATAAACACGGTTACAATAATGGTTTAGAACAATCAACATCCAAATTGATTTTTTTGTTATATTTCCCGAAAATTGGTCACATAATTACAGAGTTTTACAAACCATTTGATACTAATTTCTTTAGTTTTAACCTATCGATTTTACTGCGTACAAAAAAATGCTTCGTTAGTAGTGTTTAAAAGTAAAAAAACCATAATAGTCAGACAATAGTAACGTAGAACCTGGTACGTACGTACATCAGTCAAGTTGCCATACCCCATTAGCGCAAGCTGTTGGAATTTTTAGGTCAAATCCCAGAATAGTAAAGTAGCAACAATATAAGTAGAGATAGAAAAGACTATGCATCGAAGATACGGTTCAACAAAATATAAATTAGTGAAGTAAAAACATTAAAAAAGTTATGAGGAATTGGGGGAAGACAAAGAATGGATGCATCTGCGCCATTGTGTATAAAAGAAGGGAAACTGATATATATCTGAAGAAAGAAATTCATTGGCTCCTCAGTAACTGTTTTTTTATTTTGTCTGTGAATGGATCATAATTGTTAAGTAAGAATAAGCTTTCTGTCGATAGCTGTTCATTTCAGGGAGTTCAAATCAACAATTTGGATTACGTGAGCACATGTTACAAAACGACTTCAACTTCAAACAACACAACCGATCAGATAGTCATAAACCGACATTCACAGCTTCAGTTATTGAAAGTCTTCATAATACAAATTAGATAAGTTCGAACGAATAACCATAACTGCAAAATAAAAATACTCCCGTGAAATGATATTATGTTTACGATAGTTGTCAATGAAGAAAACTCGTTTACTGCATTCTTCTATTACTTAGAGACTGAATACAATTTATGAAAACTTTACCTAGAGTTATTACCTTTATTCAACCCATCAAAAAAGTATTTGAAGCATTTGCAAATGAACATGGTAAGGGATCGAACCAAAGACGAAAATGAATTGAACTCGTTCCTCATTTAACTATACTCGCACTATTTATTGTGACTGCAATTTACAAATGTGTGGCATCGCGGGTTAAATAAATGTACCTTGTTCTCAGGAGAATATTTGCTTACATACCCACAATTTCGCACTAGACAAAACTTAAGTATCTTACTAAAGTTAGAATACAAAGACATTAGCACCTACGTAAATGTAGAACGGTAAACAATCTCAAGGTAGGTAATTAGTGAGAAAACATGTATCACAACTCCTACATTTACATATAAAAATAAAGTAAAGGAAACAATACGATAACTACCAATAATTATTTAGTGATCGGCAGAAATTAATAACCACATTTATTTATCAAATCGGCACTTGATACATTTCAAATGTATTGAAACCTGCTATAAATGAGTGAAATAATTTCTATCAAACCTTCATTCTTAAGACAATTTTCTTAGTGCTGTGTACATTCTGCTGCGTCAATTCTTTCAACCCATAAACTGTTATTATGTCTCATTTTTTTTCATACGCATCACTAATTAATTCCCTATTGCTCCGTTTTTATATTACTTCTGATCAAACCGTACAAACATCGCAATTTTCTATTTGTATTGCTGTAGGTCAGATATTCGAGTTATATTACTCCACGAGTTTTTAGCCACGACTGAAAAAAGAATTAATCTTCTTTATGGGTTCGTCTTCTGATTAGACACTGGGTTAGAAGGAGCTCCAGGACTAACAGGAGTTCAGATTTTGACAATTGTTCATTAATCACTAATCGAACTAGCTAATACAACACAATAAAGACCTGTTCACAGAGGCCCCAATATAACTCAAGAACATTTTTCTTTTGAAGGTACTTTATGTATTTCAACACCTAAATATTGGTACAAGAGGGCACCAAATATATATGCGCTACACAATATTTGTGTGTGTGTGTGTGTGAGCTGTGATACTGCTCGGGTTCCCAGAACAAAGCAGATGGTCTTCCTAGGGGGTCACACTCCGTGCCTTTGACCTAAAGGTCTAATCCACAATGCAGTGGAGCATGGTGAGGAAATGCAGTCCCATTGTAGCCGGTGACCAACAACTGGTTTATACGCCATTTGTTCCCTCATGGATACTGGAGCCTATGTGCACCATTGGTTTTGAATCCGGTTAAAGCGCCGGACATTCGCTTTTGGTCCTCTCATTTTTATAAACAACACTCCCGCCTCGAGAAGGCAGTGAGTAGGACTTCCCTGGCAAAGGCTTGTTACGCGTGGTCGCGTGAGAGCCTTTCGAGTTGGAGGGCGGGCCCACCCCACTCTCAGCCATACCAGGGCATTTAGGGGCCTTTTGAAGGTACAACAAACAGTGACAGGTGTGGCGTCATTAACTTAACGGATGCATAAGGAGAAAAAGTTGTATCATCTTTTCAACTTCAAATCAATTAGTCCCAGGACTTAAGATGTATCAGAGAAAAATCCTTTTTCTTTTGGGACAAATAAAAGCATTGTCTTATCAGAAGTTCACGGAAATTCGGCCGAAATTCTTCTAGAAAAATTACAGACAGATAAGCTGAATCAGTCTGGTTTTCTATTTTACACATAAATAATTGATACAATCACTAATATCACTAATGCATTTTATCAAAAGATGAGAAATGAATGTATGACGGAAGAACATATAAGTCAATTCTTAAATGGGCCGTCAGTAAGCAGTGATACAGAAGATGCAGTAGTTGTATTTTATTCTTCCCAGTGATTCAGTGCGGCCGATTTCAAAACCAAGCTCCAGTTATAACTACATTGAAGACAGAAAATATAACTGGCAAGTTGCAAAGTCCGCAACAGAATGAGGTCTCATCAGATGTTCATAAAGTTCCAGTTGGAACAATCCTGTAACAGAATAATTGGCTACATTTTAATAGTCCAAAGACCACACAGCATGCAGACGCAGGAACTATAGATAGAACCCTAACTGAGAACATATAATTCTATTGTATGGAGACATTTGTCAGAATATACACCAAATACAATACTATAACCATGGCTAATGTCTGTAGGAAACGAAAAACTTACAATGTGGTGTCATATGCCGAAAAATTCCAGATTATAAATAATTTAGTACTATTATAACGAGATCTTATACTCTTACTTAGAGGAGGAGACTAACGTTGGCTCCAAATGACTTAATTTGGAGATATAAAGAAGCTTGCATTAAGGCTATTTCTTCGGCCTCAAAACTTAGCCCATAGTATGCTGAAAGGTTGGCAAAATATGTAAAACAAGTATCAAATGAATCAACTTACATTATATTCCAAACATAATTTAAGGCTAGGAACAAAGTTAGCCCAAACAGATTCTTCTGTCCCAATAAGCTGCAATAGTTCCTGGTCAGAAGTAATGTTCATTGCTTTAAACAATATGGCAATAGGGACATCCACGATGAAGGAATTATGAGAAAGGTAAAATTTATCATCTTTCGTGACGATGTTAGTCTTAGATTTCGTTTGAGCAGAGGACGATGTCACAGAACACACTAATCCACGTTTACTATCTTCTTCAATGATCAGACGATTCTTGGAAGTTTGTTCCTGCATGAGAACTACTTTTTCAGTACCACCAATAATGAAGTAACCGCCAGGATCCAATGGACATTCTTTAAGTCGCATAAGCTCCGAAGGACTTTTACCTAATTCATTTAATGGACATAAAAATGATAGCCTGTGGATAAGTACCCCCAAAAAGAAACGAGTTATATTATTGAGGGCTTCCAAGTATCTAAAATAAAGTAACTTCGGTAGTTGCAAGGAAATTTAATGTGAGAATTTAAACAGACGTGGACCAAAACAGGAAATTAACGAAGGGGATATTTGAAATAAACTGCAAACAACTCGATTATTTGCTTATCACTGCATAAGTAGTAGAAAAACTAAATTTTTTGAGAAATTATGGATTTTGAATAGTTAAAAGTAATTTGTTGAGCTAAAAATGAAGAATAGTTGTGACTGGCTAACATGTACTAGAAAATTATGAATCCTTGCATAGAATCCCAGAAATTAAGCAACTCAGTGGCTTGAGACGTAATTAGATATTTGGTCAGAATAAAGGCTTGTATTGATTCTACTACAATACTGTACTTTTTATAAAGAGAGGTTTATCTTTGAGAAATAAATTTTATCTTCGTTGAATTTATGCAGAAACTCAAGACTGATATTGTTATATCCTAGTGAAGATTAAATTACGAGTAACTTCTGAGACCTTTTAATGGACAAATATTATCTATATATTCTTATGTTATAACTATTCAGTAATTAGATTGTGTATATTTATATTCATCTTATTATAAGCTTTATTTTGACCTATAGATTCTTATTGTACGATTTACTGTTCCTAAATTATACTCAGTTTATTAATTATTGTCTCCCACGTTCACAGCTACTTTTTGGCTTTATTGTGTATGAATGTTATTTCCTATTTTATGGTGCGTTGAGGTCTGTTTGGTTGATGTATAAACCCAGCATGTCTGAAATAAATGTTTCACATAGTGGAGGCTGTTGTTGGCATTCTCGACTCGGCTGGACGTGCTAGGTGAGCAACGGACCCCTAGCTTTCTTCCAACCTACTCCTACACCAGAAAACATCGAACGTCGAGGCAGTCGGTGGTTGGGCATACGTAACACATGTCCAAACCATCTCAACTGATGAAGTCTCATTACTTCATCATTTGACTTGCTACCCTAACCTAGTACCCGTTTCCTAACAACTACATTACTTACTCGATGGTCCCAGGATATGCAAGCACTGCTTCCAAGACACCCATGATCGAATACTAGTAACCTACGAACATCCTCTACTTTTGCCGGCCATGTTTCACTGCCATAAAGTAGGACGGAATGAACTGCTGAGCAATAAATACGTCCTTTGGTTGATGGACGGATATCTCGCCTACGCCATAAATGACGCAAGTTGGCAAAAGCTAGTCGAGCCTTCTGTATCCGTGCTGAGATTTCGTCAAACATCAGACCACAAAGGCTGATGAGACTCTCAAGATAAGTGAAGCGGTCGACCGTAACTACATAAATACATTAGCTTTTTGTGGTATAAAGCACATGATCACCATTAAAAGACGCTGTTTCATTTTTCAAAAAAAGCATTATTCACTAGGTTCTCCTAAAAATACTTTACAAATTCCCAGATCAATTTCAAAAGCACTAACACTTAGGTACTGCAAATAGAGTAGACACAAGACTAAGTAGTGTGACAAATGAAAGTATTGATATATGTTTATACTAGATGTAACTACTAGTATGGAAGATTAACACGAACGAAACATTAAAGAGAACCTAGGAGGATTGAAAAAATTCACATAAATGTTCGTAACCTATCACGGAGGCTTACCATTTAGTACACATATGGAGCTTTTTAGCATGATTGGCATGCGACCAATAAGGACACCTTTTTTCGATACTACTTCGTTCTGTCTAACAAACGTAACGTCAACAAGAATTTCGCCAGCATATGTTAGGTCACGGAGTCTGCAGTCATGAGGAGTAACACGGCTGGCGACAACCCCTCCATCATTTACTGTTGGAGGTTTGATATATATGTCATTATACTCTAACCACCAATTGGCTTCTGGAACACTGACACGACTGTTTGCTCGGACAATATTTTTTATTTCTGTTTGAATAAAATGATTGAAGGAGTCGATGTGAAGTTTAACCAATCCCTTTGAGGCCAGAAATGATGGAACAAGATAATGTTTTTGATTCATAATTTAAATGATGAAATAGAAGATTATAACAACAGACCAGGCAACTAATGAATGACAATTCTCGAAGAACGATAGTTGAGATAACTTGTGTTCAGTGAGATGAGCGTGTAGAGCAACCGCTGGCCTAAAAAACAATCATCATGGAAAGGTTTGTAAAATCATGCCAATAAGGGAAATAAATCCCGACTTAACTCATAACCTGATCCCTATGTACATTTTCCAGTAAACTCTATGAAAACCATAAAAAATTAATCGTTGGATTGATCATACAATGTTGCACGTAAATATAGCTTACATATTTCAACACAGTACATGAAGAGTAAGTCTGATAAAAAAAACCATATTTTGTCAAAATCCTCAATGCACTCACTTGACTAAACTAAAGAATTCAGAAGTAGTTACTTTATATCTTCGAAATGTAGTTTGCTTTAGCTCATGAGAGTATGCATAAATGTCTTACCAAAAAATTAGCTTCCTTTTTTTAAAATTTTAGGTGGCTGCTCAGGAGAAAACTTTCAAGTGAGTTGATATCAGGCATAAGACCATCAGGCAGAATAATAAGTTTCCTTTGTAGTAGAATCACATGATTACGTACAAAATGTCTTTTAATCATGTTTATTCTTGTAACTAGTGTCTTGTAAGTTATTTAGGCACCAACGAAATTAAGACGTGAGTAACGCGCTTAATTCATGTCTGACATGCCTTTAGGATCCTGGGGGTACGCGTGGCATACGAAGTTATTTTACTCACTGGTGATCACGACATTTCATTCCCCAACGCTGCTTTACTTCCTTCTGGAGTAGATATCTTAGTTAAAAGCTTGAAGGGTAATTATTTAAAGAAGTAATGTGTTTTAGCCCAAGTATTCGGGTAGTAACTTGTCCCACATATAAGTAAGATGATCACTGCTAACGAAGAAATATTAAACCCATCCCGCCTAGTTGAACCTTTATTGTGTTATGCTCCGATTCACTATTTATTTAGACACAAACATTGGTACAAAGAGGCACCAAATATATATGCGTCACACTTCGTTATTTGTGTGAAGGCTGGAATACTACCCGGGCACCTGAATCGAGACAGATGGTTTTCTTAGTAGGTCACACTCCAAGTCTTTGACCTACTGGTCTAATCCATGAGGCAGTACAGCAACCTTCCCTCAGGATTCTGGAGCCCATGTACACCATTGGTTTGGAATCACAGTTTCCCAACTTCCCTAGGTGGATCCTCTATATCCACCAACCTGTTTGAAACACAGGACATTCGCTTTTTTTCCTCTCGATCTTGTTAAACAAGACCTCTGCAGCGAGAAGGCAATGAGTAGGACTTCCCTGGTGGTGGCCGTATATACGTGGCCATGTGAGAGCATTTCGAGAGGACTCTCCCAATCCTCGGGCTGTACCAGGGCATTTGAGGGCAACGACAAACACTTCCTACGGTTGACTAGATCCACTGTTAAAATAAGAAAATTGAAACAGATAGGAAGGTCTAATTGCAGAATCAAGGGTATATATACATCCCTCCTTCTGAATCAGACAAAAACATGTAGGGCAAGAACTTGACCTGGTACATAATCAACTTCTAAAGCCGCGTTTATGATCTCCTACCTAACATCTGACCATGTGATAAAATGTGAAGTGTCTGGCTTTTTCACGCGTACGTAACATATTTAAACTCGTCCGGACTGTCAATCTCCTGACGTCGTTCTATTCACAGTCTTGACGCTATTCTACTAGATTTCTATATAAAGACATATTGCAGTAATCCCCCCGGAAAATCGCCTTCTTTAATTTGGGAATCATCACTATCCATCCGAACTAAATTTATAAGAATTTTATCATGAGCAAACTTATTTTACTTCGGGTTCGAATTGTTATTTTCATTCTGTTAGTAATTTTACTTAACTCACTTGGCAACTTGTCTTTGTTGAAAATTCTACTCCGTTTAAGTGATCATTTTTCAGCACCATAACTGATGCGAAATTTGATAGTTCTCGGAAGCATACGTACAATCCAAAGTAAACATTTATCACATCCACAGTTTTATGATCAGACAAAATCTACTCCCAATGTCTGCTACAACTCACAGACCAACACTGGGAATTCTAGTCAAGTAATCAAAACCAGTTCATTTAACGAGACCCTGTGGCACAGACATGCAATCTAGCTGCGTTCAGTGATGCACTAAGCATCAAAGGAGAAGCATTATTCAACCGGCCATACCAGGGTATTTGGGGGCTCTCAGACAAGCTAATATTTTATTCAGCCTGACTTCTAAAACTGAACCACGTCTCATAAAGACCTCCGCAGTTCACAAAGCAGGTATAGCTATTATGTGTTTATAAACTGGCTGAGAGCTGTGGGAATTACGCCAATTTCACATTCGAGTAGTTTAAATATGGTAGGTAACTAAAGAACAGCTAGAGAACAATTACACTATCCCATAAATAAGCTTGCCCATCAATCTAGTAACCTGGACTGAGATAGAAAGACGGTTTTGTTTTTAACCGAAACAGACAATAACAATTGCTAATACCAGTTTACTCGATGGGTCAGGATAGTTTTCTGGTGTTACCTATCGCTCCAGTATCCTGAAGGAACAAATGGCATATGAACCAATGTTGGTCACCGGCTACAATGGGACTGCATCTCCTCACCATGCTCCACTGCATTGTGGATTAGACCTTTAGGTCAAAGGCACGGAGTGTGACCCCCTAGGAAGACCATCTGCTTTGTTCTGGGAACCCGGGCAGTGTCACAGACCACACACAAATCAAATAAAAGGACTATATTTACTGAAAATACTATTCACGTTTCGATTAAAAGTCAAACAATTCAAATCATTATTATTTTTTACGTAACTTATTCACTCTCTTTTATTCCCGCTCTATGTATCCTTATTTTTCGACTTATACAGTAGCTCGCTTATGGTGGAAACTCGGTTCTATCTAAACGCTCTCGAGCCACTGCCTGGTTGAAAATTGTATGCTACCATCAAATACGAATACTGAAGCAGTTTTTCTGAAACCACGTGCGCCATTCAAACTGGCTGCGTTCAACGTTCGCACACTTATGCAGGTCGGACAACAGATAGGGCTAGCTATGTCTTTGGAAAGTCTTAATATCGACGTCTGTTGTCTATCCGAGACCCCTACTCAAAACTCTGGTGAAGTACTACAAATTCGCTCTCCATCTGTCGCTTCAAAAAGCTTCTTTTACGTGCGTTTATCCGGGGACCCTGTAGCACCTTGGTCTAGTTTTTCTGGCGCTGGTGTCGCACTAAGCGCTAGAGCTGGGGCAGCACTAATCGATTGGATCCTCGTTAACAGTCGGTTATGTGCTGTTAGATTAGAAAGTTCCATTAGTCACTGCTTCCCACATTCACAGCCACATTTGGCCAAATTTTGTACAAATGTTATTTTCTACTTTATGCTACGTTGTGGTCTGTTTGATTGGTATATAAACTCAGTATGTTTGAAATATAAGGATTCATATCGCAGAGGCTCGGATTGGTGTTCTGGACTTAACTGGCTGGGCTAGGCGGAAAGGAGGACCAATCAGAACTCTAAGCTGCTCATACGGGTTTACGCGTCATTGATCCGATCGATAAGTCACTAATCGGTGGTCACAAGTTATAACAATTGGAGACGGGGATGGGACTCGAACCCACGCGGGGAAACCCCAAGTCATAACACCTGTGAAGACTGATCAACCAAATGAGGCGGAAGTCCGCAACGAACTCCAACTCTTGAAGCACTACAAATCACCGGGTCCAGATGACTTACCTCCGGGCCTTTTTAAAGATGGTGGTGACTTTTTGACTAAGGAATTGACGACGCTGTTTACAAAGGTCTGGGAACTAGAGAGTATTCCAACGTCAAGGGATGAGTCGATAGTTGTCCCTATCTTTAAAAAGGGTTCACGTCGTTCCTGTAACAACTATCGAGGTATAAGTCTACTTCCGATTGCGTCCAAACTATTAGCTTCTGTCACACTTCGCAGGTTGTTCAAAACCCGAGAATGATTGGCTCGCGAGGAGTAGGCTGGTTTTCGTTCTTGTCGAGGATGTATTGATCACACCTTCACCCTCCACCAAATGTTAGAACACCTTCATACTTATCAAAGGCCAACAATCGTAGTGTTTCTTGACATCAGGGCTGCCTTCGATTCGTTGGATAGGACTGTTCTCTGGGATTGTCTATTGAAGAAGGGTGTGCCTGAGAAGTTTGTTAACATCCTAAAGGCCCCATATACAAACACCCCAGGCAGAGTGAGGGCATACAACCACCTCTCTCCATTGTCCCATTCAAGCAGTGGGGTTAGGCAGGGTTGCCCAATCTCACCATTCCTCATCAACTTTGCCATCGACGACATTCTGAAAACAGCTCTGATGGATGTAAGTAATGGCGGTGTGGATCTGTTGCCTGGAGAAAGACCTCTCGACCTTGAGTATGCGGATAATATTGTCTTAATGTGCGAAAATACCCAAGCCATGCAATCCGCACTTAATCAGTTGGCAATCAGTGTCCGTAGGTATGGTATGTGCTTTGCACCTTCGAAGTGCAAAATACTTCTACAAGACTGGCAGGATTCCAATCCTGTACTCACCCTGGATGGTGAGCAGATAGACGTAGTCGAGAAGTTCGTGTATCTGGGTAGCTGCATAAGTGCTGGTGGTGGCCTGACTGATGAGATCAATGCACATATAGTGAAAGCCAGAGCGGTTTATGCCAATCTGGGCCATTTTTGGCGCCTTCGTGATGTCAGTCTAGTTGTAAAAGGTCGGATCTACAACGCGTCGGTGAGAGCAGTTTTGCTCTATGCTTGTGAAACCTGGCCTCTCCAAGTTGAGGACGTTAGACGACTCTCTGTGTTCGATCATCGCTGTCTCCGAAGGATTGCTGATATCCAGTGTCAACACCATGTCAGTAATGCAGAGCTTCGGCATCGTGTGTTCGGGTGCAGAGACGATAATTCAATTGGTGTCACCATCTTGAAACACCGACTTTGGTGGCTTGGACATGTTCTCCGAATGTCGTCCCAGAGAATTCCACGTCGTGCATTATTTGCCGACTCTGGGACTGGTTGGAAGAAGCGGAGAGGTGGTCAGTGCATGACATGGTGTCGTGGTATGAAAGATAGCTGCAAAGGACTGGCTCCTGTTGGTTCTTCACGACTCCCTGACTGGGGTCTGAGAGATGGTGCTACACAGTGGCTAGAGACGTTATCAGATATGGCTCAGAATAGAAGCCAGTGGCGATCCTGCTGTAACCTTCTTTTACTTTCTTTATAGAAAATGGTTGTTTCTTCCTTAACTGAAAGATTTCTTTTGATCGTACCTTTCCGTTTCCCCCATCACTATTATTATTATTACACTACCTTACACTAATCTGTGGTTGTTAATGTTCTTTTTTTCTTATACGCACCTTACCTTCTTTTTCTCTTCCCATTCTCATTGTTTTGTATGGCGCATATATATTGGGTGCCCCCTTTTACCAATATTTTTGTGTTCAAATAAAAATAAAACATATCGCTCCAGCCTTGTCCATATCTTTTGTTTTCATTACTGCATAAACTCTTTTCCAGTCTATTTATTTAAAACATAAATATTGGTACAAAGATGTATCAAGACAAATATATGCCACAAAATAAGAAAATGAGATTGTGAAAGGATAGAAGAGGAAAGGACTGTACAATCAAGGTAAAAAATAAGTAAGTAGTAGTGAAAGTAGTATATAACTAGAGAGACCATTCAGTAAGGAAAAAATACAACCAGAAAGAATCCTGTCAGTTAAAAAGTTTCTTACTTTTATGAAGAAAGCAAAAGGAAATTAGAGCAGGACCGCCACTGGATTCTATTACGGGTCATATCTAACATCTCAAACTACTGTGTTACACTATTTCTAGGACCTCTAACCTGGAGCCAGGAAGGACCGACAAATGCTAGTCCTGTACAAACAATTTTCGTCAACATCCCAGGTCCATGCTAAAAACTAATCAGTCAACCAGCTACAACGTAGGACCAGACACATATATGCATCGGTCCAAGTTGCCACACCTCATTAGCACAACAACATGAACACCGAGTTCATAGAAGTAGTTAATTCAATGGTAGTAATATATAAAGAGAAAGAATGCATATAAGGATATAATACATGAAGAAAGAATAAGTTTGTAGAAAGAAAAGTATAAAGCAATTTTAATCTCATAGTTCAAGAGAAGACAGAAAATGTATACATCTACGCCCTTGTGATCGATTGTGAGTCATGCCACTCAGAGTATCCAACCCTTGGTTATGACAGTCACGCGGACCCCAACCAAGTAGTCTGCATCTACCAGCATGGCTCAGACTAGAAGTTAGTGTCTTCAAGCACTGATGCCACGTTTTGGTTTGGCCGCCCCTAACTTTCAACCATTCCTAACACTAGTCAGCATTGCGCGTCGTGGTAATCGGTGTTCAGGCATACGTAACACGTGCCCCAGCCATTTCATTCGACCAAGATTCACAACCTCATCAACTGATTTACCATCATTACCTGATACCCTGCATCTAACTAATCACCTCTCCACTTTTTCTAGTTAGTCTCAGCATCCGTAAATAATGTATAATATGGAAATTGCTGGGATAATATCCATTGTATGTTAGTCTATGTTTGAGTTTTTATCGCTTTTTGTTATTTATTGGACTCATTGGGATGTTTTTGCTATAACAATTCAATAGATGTCACCGAAACCCGCTGGTCTTTCCTAACATTTTAATTTAGGTTGATAGCAGAAATCCCTGCTTTGTTTACAGCCTACTGGATAACACAGCTTATTTAAAACGAACCTTTGCTTCATCACCGACTAAGTACTATGCTAATCCTTCCCCAATATATTTTTGACTATTTCATTTCTCAATTGATATCTAAAGGGTCTCCCTGGTATGGGTTTTCTATGTCTATTAAAACGCATAGAAATGCGTGACCTCATTTGAGTATGATCGGTGTTTAACCATGTACTACAGGGGGTTTAACAGTCTTTTGCTGAGACCTGAAAATAGACGGTGACGATATGGTCTATTGTTTCTATTGTTATGTTGATGTTTGAAGTCATCAATATCCCTCTTTAAATCTACAGCTAATAGCTGCTAGGATGCAGTAGTTATCTGAGCATGATTGCAGAAGACGGTTAGTGTTATTTGTTTGTTGTTCTGAAACGCTAAGGGAACTTGTTTTTCAGACTACTGATTGGCGTTAAAATCACCTATTATTATTATTAAGTCTGAATGTTTGGCCTACTAGAGATTCGAAAGCTTTCTGTGCAACTAATCTTTTAGTTAATGAGAGCTACTATATGGGAGAAAAGAGAGGCAATAACGCGTCTGTCTTTTTGAGTCCTTACAGAACTGTTTAGTGCATATGTGACTATCTCCTAGAATTAAGTCCGTGAGCCTGTTCCCTTAAGTTTAGTGCTATACTTACCCCTACCACGAGAAGCTGCTATTCCATCCTTAGATATACGGAGGAATATCCTGTTGGGCAGGTGAAATCAATTGAATGACTACACTGGGTTACTGTGCGTTTTGCTTCGGATACAGCAGATATATGTCGCGAGATTTTGTGGTCTAAGCTAGTGACTCCTGTTGCCTTATTTGACATAAGATTCGAAAATTGAAAATTCCAATAAGTAGTTTAAAGTGGGGTTTAAGTCGTTAGTATTGGGGTCACATGTTAAAGTCGACAACAGATGAAAGTTGGTAGTGGGAGTAGAATATTTATTAATGAAGAGGAGGGTTGATTTCAAATGAGGTGATTTCGTAAGTTGTTAGAGGTATGAGAGCGACCGCCACCTCCCGGTTGCCTGTATTGTAGAAAGAGGCTTATTCCTGAGGTACCTGAAAACGAATGTGCTAAGAGTGCTACTGAAGACCTGTGGGCGTACCCGCAGTGTCCAAGAAGCAGATGGTTGAGACATCATACACGATCTTGGTGAGAGTAGTTCTTGATGTGTTAGCTCAGTACTTTTAAGGCCTTAGTTCGAGTTAGAAATTCGTGGGCAACGGCAAGTTGTATCGTGGAAAGACAGCACCGCTGACATTGCTAGTAGTTTGAGGGAGATACTGTACTGCTGTGATACTCCTGGCTCAGAACTGATCACAATGGCACAGGCAAATACACTGTCTTCCCTTAAACCGTGGGATTAAAATCACTTTATCTTTCTCTCTACGAACTAACATTTTTCCCTGTATCATATTCTTATATGCAATCTTTATATATTACTACCGTCGAAGTAATTGCTGTGAATTTGTTCACCTTGTTGTGCTAATGAGGTGTGGCAACTTAGAACGATGCATATATGTGCCTGGCTCTAAGATGTAGCTGACTGACACTCCTGAAAAGTCGTCAGAAGGAACTCGCACTCAAATCATGAATTGATTACTTTCAAGGCTTACCATCCTCCAAACAACGTGCTTGGCACGGTAAAACATAAGGGAACGAGCGTTCCGGCCTATGTGGTTCAACTAGATCATCAAGATGTGTAAGCCCGACAATCGCGTCAAGGAAGCGGCTGCAGTCAGACATTGTAGGTTTTTCTAAACCTGTGAAAGACGGGTTCGTGGAGAGTTAGCTATTCTTCGAGGTTACAGGTGCATAGATCGATTTATCGTCCATGCACAATGTGTAATTGGATGCAGCGGTGGTAATTCCATTAACCCTACCATCATAAAACGCCTGTTTTGGTGGCCTGTATATATTTTACAAATGTCACCTCTATGGCTTGCACTTTGTGCATTACTTACCTACTCCGGAACCGGATGAGAAAAGTGCGGAGGTCAGTTTGAGACATGAGACTGTTATTTGATAGACTGGGGTCTTCCAGTTCACCACAACTTGCAGGTAGGAGCCCCAGTAACAGCGTATCTCAAAGTAATTGAACATTCATAAATAAGACTTAAAATAGAAGCTTGTGCTGATATCGTTTTGATTTTCTAATACTAGCGAGATTGATCCACAATGTGGTGAGGCAAAAATGGTGAAAGTCAAAGACATTCTGTAACAAAATTATTTGGTTCACCAAATATACACCATCTAGAAACATTATAACAAGCCTTTTTTAAAAGCGTGCTACGAACGGGAAGTTTATTCCTAACGTGATTTGCATTTATCAAACTTTTGCTTTGTTCTTACGCAACAAAAGTACCATTTCTGACCAAAAGAATCTATCCTGAGCTAAACGTTCGGTAGATTACTTTTTTTGAGTTTCACCCAATTTAATAGTTAACTGTGGTTTTGCCTCAGCTTACTATTCGGTTTTTTTCAGTTTTTCACGTAAAGACTAGTTCAGTTTATCTCATCCGTTTTATCCATTTTTGTCCGTTTTCAGTGTGTTTTTTAGTGTATTTTTTACGGTCTTAGGCTTTTGCTAGCATCTACAACACAGTTTACGTCAATACAGTCATGATAAATTCATGCAAACGACCTGGATGCCGTTTTTCTGTTACATCTTGCATGCAGTGCGACAACTGCAAAGGTTGGTTCCACGAAGCGTGCACAGATCTCACAGCAACTGCTTACAACAGACTCAGCAAGTCGGATCATAAGTGGGAATGTGTTACGTGCAGCACGGATGATGCAGTCTTGCTGAGTAATATCATTGTCCTACTGACAGGTCTGCAGAGCAAGTTGTCGGCAAACTTGGGAAAAGACAGTCAAAAAATGGGTAGACAAACAAGAGAGCGCATTGAAAACGAGAACAGGGATGTCGACAGGTCTACCAACGACGAAGCATGCAACAGCATTAATGATGACACGCTGAAACTCAGCACCATGATTACGACGACGGTACTCGACTCCCTCATCAAACTCAGGTCTCACAGCTCAAGGTCCTTGAACGCGACAGTGGTTCCCAAAAACTCTGTAGGTGATTGGACCCATGTCAAAAGAGCTAAAAAAGGCCAGGTGTCACAGTCTAAGTTGAACATTCTAGCTGTTGAACGGAAGTCAACTGGTGATCTGGTCGCACAGTCTACCCCCAAGATTGTCTGCCCGGTCATCAAAGAGCCAAGGATTCATAAACGTGCTTCGACTCCCAAACAACAAGGTGCTAAACCTGGACGCACCGGAAAATCTGGGACGACAATAACGGTTCGTGATGACTCTCTCACAGTCATGAACTGCAAAGACAACCCTGACCTTCCTCTAAGTTTGCAGGACAAAAATGATAGGATGCTCTGGGGAGAATTGAACAAGAAACTTGGACTTCCAAGAATAGAGCCTTTGACAGTCACACGGCTCACTCGGGGAAAGGAATCTAAGCATCAAAATCACCAGATGCTACTTCGTGTAACACTTAAGAATGCTACCGACGTAGAGGATGTCTTACTAGCGAGTCATTTACTGAAATCAGATGGGAATGTAAGAATACTGCCTGACACACCGTATTCTGAGCGCAATCTCATCCGGAACATCCCCAAAGAAACTCGCGATCAGTTTTTCCGCGGGAGGAATATAATCGTACAAGGTATACCGGAAAATACTGACCCTACTCAATCAAAGACTGACATCAGGGAATGGAAATTCACCAAACAGTCCTTGAGGCTCCAAAACATACTGACTCAGCATGTGACGAGACTAGCCAAGAAGGATGGTGATTCTAGACCCCGTCTAATGAAGATAACCTCCCCATCTTTCCATATGGCGGCTGCAACTCTGGAAGCATTTCGTGCCAACAGACGTCGACTGCCACCTGGAATCCACATGCACCCGGATAGGCCATACGAAGCTAGGACCAAACACAAAGGCAAGTTGGAGCTGATCATTCCACTTGTGGACTGTCTAGACGATAAAAAGAACGTGTAAAGGACAGGGCCTACCACCTCGGCAAACCTCATATAGGTGGGCTACCTGTCCATTCACGTAAGGCTCATACAGACAAACAGGAAGAACCTCACGCGTTTCAAATTGAAAGCACAAACTGCTCATATATGAACGCCGCGAGTCTACCAAACAAATTGGATGAACTACGTGAACTTAGCAATGCTAATAAGGCCCATCTGATAGGAATATCTGAAACCTGGATATCTTCTCAGTTCTCGGACCATGAGTTAGCATTACCTGGGATGTCTTTGTTCCGCAATGACAGAAAATCAGGATTTGGGGGCGGAGTAGCTGTTTACATACGTTCTTGCTTTGAGGTGCATCAAGCTCATAACCTCGAGTTTAACAATCTTGAGGAATCTACATGTTGCTCTGTAAGATTGTCCAGTACTTCGAGGTGTCTAGTCGGAGTCATTTACAGGAAGCCAACTGCCGACATCGAGTACGATAGTCGTATGCTGGAAGGACTATCCCGCTCTACTCGTCTCGGTTTCACACACATCCTGATTCTAGGAGACTTTAATCTCCCTAGAGTCAACTTCGCGGAACACACGTATACTGGAGGCGATAACTCAATTGAAGCTCGGTTCTTCAACCTCATCGGTGACTTGGGATTGTACGAAAATGTGAGGTCGGCAACTCGTTGGAGAAACAGTCAGACATCATCGCGCTCAGACTGTGTATTCACAAACGAAGAATTTCTAGTTGACAACCCTTCAATCCTGGCTCCCCTGGGGAAAAGCGATCATGCCGTCATAGCCTTTAGTTTTGTCACCAAAACTAAGCTAAGATACCCCACTAATAACTTGCGTTGGAATTTTAAACGGTTGAATAAACCAGCTCTACACGACTATGTACAACAGGTGGTTTGGGATGTTCACCCCCAACTCGATGTGGACGGTCATTGGGACTTCTTACTGCACACACTCTTACGTGCTACAAACCATTCAGTTCCTCAAACAATTCCCAAAAGCTGCAAGCCACCTATAATAATCAATAACCGTACCCTTCGCCTGCTAAGCTGCAAAAGGCACTGTTGGGCAGAATACGAACAAACTGACGACGGAGCGTACAGGCTATATAAACATATCAAGAACATATGCACGAAGGCTATAAGAGAAGATAGGTTTCAGTACCAGACAAAGCTTATGGACAAATTTGCCTTCAATCCTAAAAGCTTATTACATTATGCAGCTCCTCTTCGTCAAGCCAAAACTGGAGTTTCCCAACTGGTAGGTCTTAACGGCCCGACCAACAACGATCGCGACGCCGCTAACCTTCTGGCTGAACATTACTCCCAGACATTTCAACCGACCGACATTAACTTTACTGATGACAGTTTCGTTTGCAATTCCACAGAACTTTCTAAAGTGAACCTAAGCGCTGACTTGGTGTTCCGGAAACTTCAGCACTTAAGATTAGACACTTCTCCTGGCCCGAACATGGTCCATTCTGCCATACTGAGGGAAGCAGCCTCAATCTTGGAAACGCAGCTTAGCGTGATGTTCTCACACTCGCTAAGTCGAGGAAAACTATCGGAAAATTGGAGGCTGGCTCACATCACACCAATTTTCAAAGGAGGTCGACGCAGAGAACCTTCAAGTTACCGACCGGTGGCTCTTCTCTTCATACCTTCAAAACTCATGGAGTCCTTGATATGCGATGGTATAAATGACTATTTACTGTCCTTACATTTCTTCTCACCCCAACAGCATGGTTTCAGGAAGGGTTACTCTTGTATTACCAACCTGATGACTGCGGTGGACAAATGGACAAGCATCCTTGATCACAAGGGGAAGGTTGATATCATCTACCTAGATTTCTCAGAAGCTTTTGATAAGGTTAACCATACATGTCTTATCAATAAGCTCAAACGAGTGGGTATCAGACCACCTCTAATCGATTGGCTCACTTCATACCTGAAAAATCGACATTTTAAGGTCAGGGTTAATTTAACTTTATCTCAGGCTATGGAATATCCTAGTGGGGTCCCCTTGGGCTCAGTACTAGGACCTCTTCTCTTCTTGATCTACATAAGTGATCTTCCTCAACAGGTGACGTCACACATTACTTTTTGCCGACGACGTGAAACTTTGGAGAGAGATACGCAACCAAGACGATATACAGGCACTTCAGGAGGATCTGACTCGACTTCAAAGTTGGGCAGATAATAATGGACTTACCTTTAACACTTCAAAGTGTAAAGTAGTCCATCTGCGACATGTTGCAGACTACAGTTATAACTTAAGAAACTCCTCTTTAGTAATATCCCGAGTCGAAAAAGATCTAAGAGTCCTGGTGCCCTACGATTCAAAGTCTCACGCTAACTGTGACAAAAATGCCTTCCGAGCAAACCTTGCACTGGTAACATTGGAGCGCATTTTTGGCCAGTTTGACGGAAGAACTTTCCATATAACCTTACGAAGAGCGCCTCCATTCACTAGAGCTTTACCCATTAGAGTATAGACGTCCTAGAGATGACCTCCTGATGGCTTATAGTATCCTTAACACTTCTGGACATCCTCTCAAACACCTACTTAAGCTTAGTTCCAACACTAACCTAAGAGGTAACACCCAAAAACTGGAGACACAACATAGCAGAACGGACTTTAGACACAACTTCTACTCCTTAAGAGTTGTCAAATGCTGGAATTCGCTGCCGGCCGAGCTAGTTCAAGCGACTTCCCAGGAGTCCTTTAAGAGGCAACTTGATCTATTCTTAAGGACTAAGGATAGTATCACACTATGATTTACTAATTTCTTTTCCTCTTTTATTGTTAACATACCTAGGTTCCTGCCTGGAGGATTTGGTGATCCCCTGCTACTACACACGGAAGCCTGTTAAGCGAAAGCTTCTTCTATTCCGTCCACAACCATTTAAACCATTTGAACATACCAAGTGTAACACCAGTATTGAGAAACGCGGTTCAAATGCTTTGTTTTGTCATGTACAGAATAGCAGAAGCTTCCGCTCGACGAACTTCTGTGTCTAATAATAGTAAGAGCATCATCAATCAATTTGGATAAATTTCAATAATCCAAAGAGAAATCGAAGTTTATCAGAATTATGTGATATATTTGCGAAATACATTTCGAACAGTGAACACACGTGTACTTGTTCAGACATTTTTATCTGAAAATTAAAAGGTCAAACGGACAGGTGAAAAGTAAGCCTTACTGTAAGGGGCCATATTGTGTCATATACTAATAGAAAACGGGTACAATGAGAAATTCAAATCATCGTAAACTTCGTCGGTCTTTTCAACTTTTCCATCCGTCCCGAAAGAAAGCATATTAGAGTACATGCCGAATTGCACTCATATGAACATAAAGACCTAGAACGTGCGAAAAATGGAAAAAAACATATGCATGCGTTTCGTTAACTTGCAATGGCGTAAAAACGATTCTTGCCGAATGACTTTTTGGTTTTTTGTGAAAAAACAAAAATGAAAACAGTAAGTAAAGGCATATTAAAAATTGTTTGATTTCCTTTATTGACACAATACAAAAATATCGAGGCAAAACTGTGTTATGTGGTGTATAGCATGCAGTAATTGTCTGCGTGTTCGAGAAACCTTACTTTTCCGCCAGGACGCATCGTTTGGAGTCGGTTGTCACATACCACCTAAGTGTCATCGCGATTGTGGATTATCAGGTGAGGTATCGTGATTCTGGGGCTCTTGTCTTTCGATCGTGTCGAAGAAAAATCGACATGATTAGGGTTTCCCTCCAAATGCAAGGCTTTAAGGAGATCGATGTTGATTCTACTGTTAGTTTTGTTCCCATCGATTATATAGTACTTGGGTTTACGCTGAAGAACTTTAAAGGGTCCTTCGTATGTCGTTTTGAGGAGTCGTTGCAGTGAGTTGCGACGTACAAAGACGTGTTTACTTTATCGTATGGCAGGTTGCGAGAAAATATCAGTTCATTGTGGTCTAGTGGAAACATGTTCGCCTGAAGGCATGATGCTTGTAAGCCATCACGCGTAAGAGATTAAAGTCATATTCATTGAATAAGATGAAGGATTGTGGTGTTTGAATGAACCAATGATACGTTTGTACTGGTTGAATGTTTGATTTCGAATTCTAAATACAGTACATTCGTTTGTGCCTGTGTCTTCTTAATTCAATTGCGCTAATCCTGGAATTCCTAATTCATACGACAATTAGAATACTATATTGGCGTCGTGATGGAACCTGCAATGGAAAAGTTGGATATTCATTCAACTCCTGAAGCTATTGAGGATTATTTGGAAAGGTTCGAAATTTGGAGCATGACCAAGAAAATTGTTAAAGGTGAGAAAATTGTGGCACATTTTCTGACATTCATTGGGAGAGAAGCGTACAGCTTATTAAAAACTTTGGAATATCCAGAAAAACCTATCTCACTCCCTTTAGCAACTCTTAAAGAGCTATTGTTAAGTCATGTAAAATGCACCAGTTTTGAATGCCGTGAAAGGGCGAAGTTTCATAAAATGGTTCGTCAAAATGACCAAAAGGTTCGGGAATTCATCCTTGAATTACAGAAACAAGCTGCCAAGTGTAATTTCGGTGATCAACTTCATGTGCAACTGAGAGATCGATTAATTGCAGGAATTAACATACCGAGTTTGGAAAGAGAGCTGTTAAGAATGCCAAACTGTTCCTTTCAAGATGCTAGAACTGCATGTATTAACTACGAAGCAGTCAATGAACTTGATATCCAGTCGATGAAGATTTCTAATACTTTGCTTAGTCGTCGTGATGAACTACAATCTCAGGGTCAATCAAACTTGCGTTCATTTAACAGTGATTCCTATTCTCGTGTAAATATGAAAGGTGTTTCAACGAGGGATTACAAAGCAAATCAAAAAGGTGAGATGAAGTTTGGTAAATGTTTATCATGTGGAAAGTTTCATGCTCGCAATTCATGTGTATTTCGTAATGCTAAATGTTTTAAATGTGGTAAGGTAGGACACATTCAGTCAGTATGCAAAGCTACTGTCCATTTTGCTTCGAGCTGTACTAAATCTTGTAATTTAAATTTCAATAATTCGGATGTTTTTAGTGATCATTTGTCTTTGTCCACTATTTCGAAAGGTAATGCTCATATTCAGAAGCGATTATATACATCGCTTGGTTCATTTCATGACTTTATTCTGGACACAGGCAGTATAGAGTCCATTATTTCATTCAAGAACTTGAAAGCTTTAGATCCTAACGTTGTTGTACGACCCACTGAAGTATCAATACTGGGGATTACTGGACACGGACTGCCCATACGAGGATGTTGTGAATTGCTAATCAGAGATGATAATTCTTCATACATACCTTGTGAATTTTTAGTTAGCGAAACAGGACTGTCAATATTGGGTTTAAAGAATTTGGAAAGGCTTAAGGTGGAGTTGTCCTTCTTAGTTTCTAAGGAAAATTCTGATACTTTACTTAAAGATTTGATAGCTATGTGTGCTAAGTGCAGTGGAGGTATGAAAATTAAGCCTATAAAACTTCAAGTACAGGGTGATCCCGTCTTTCTTAAAAGACGAATACTTCCTTATGGTCTTCGAGAAGCAGTACATAAGACATTAAACGATTTGTGTGTGAAAGGCATAATTGAACCAATTCAGTCTTCAGCATGGGGTACTCCTATCGTTACGCCACTGAAGTCGGACGGCAAGACCCCTAGAATTTGCGGTGACTATATATTAACTCTGAACTCCCGTTTGTTGAAGCATACGTGCACGACGGTAGAAGCTGAAGATATTCTAAATCGACTTCATGGTTCTAAAGTGTTCTCGAAAGTTGACCTAAAAGATGCTTATCTTCAAATTCCTTTAGATGAATCTTCATCTATTTTGACGACAATTAACACTCCTTTTGGTCTGTTCAAATACAATTTCCTTCCATTTGGTCTAAGTTTTTCTCCAGCCATATTTCAGAAGTTATGAATAAAGTAGTTAGTGATCTTGAAGGTGTTGAAGTTTATCAAGATGATCTCATTGTTCATGGCTCTAATAAGGTAGTTCATGACCAGAGACTTATTGCTTTATTGCGTCGTTTAATTGAGAAGAATATAACAGTGAATCCAAATAAGTGTTCATTTTGTGTATCTAGTTTTGAATGCCTTGGATACCTAGTTGATAGTAATGGTTTTAGACCAGATATGAAACGACTAGCTCCACTGACTAATGCACCGTCTCCGAAAAATCTTACAGAATTACGTTCACTAGTGGGTGCTCTTCAATACTATTCCCGTTTTACTCCTAATTTTTCTTGTCGTGCAAATTGTTTATTTAATATTTTAACATCCAATTCATTCAAATGGAGTGAGGAACAAGAGTCATGCTTACGAAGTCTGCTGAAGTTTCTTCAAAGTGATGCTGTTCTTCGAACGTACTCCCCTAATGTACATTCTGTGCTTATTACTGATGCATCACCTGTGGGAATTGGTGCAGTTTTGGGACAGGAAGGTAGACCAGTTATTTGTGTTTCACGCAAACTTATTGTTACTGAAAAAGGTTATTCACAGACTCAGCGAGAAGCATTAGCTGTGTTTTGGGCTGTTAAAAGACTTCATAAATATTTATTCGGAAAGAAATTCACTATTGTTACTGATCATGAAGCTTTAAAGTTTATTTATCATCCCGAAAAATCCTTAGCACGTTCCTCAGCAGCTATGGTTCAGCGATGAAGTATTGCTTTGAGTGCATATGACTATACGGTTCAGCACAGAAGTGCCAAACAGATTAAACATGTTGATTACATTTCTCGACAGTCATTACAAGATAAACCTATTAATACTTCGGATTGTTTGTTAGTGCAACCTTTACCAGTGAGACGTTCAGATCTCATTAGAGAAACTCGTAGATATTTTGGATGTATACTCAGCGCTATAAGGAAAGGTTAAAATGCTAATTTGAAACGGAGATTTCCTATCTATTTTTCAAAGCGGGATGAGTTACCTACTACTCCTGATGGTATTCTGTGTTTAAATGATCGTGTTGTCATTCCTCCTTCATTGCGTAAATCTGTTCTTGAAGATCTTCATAGTGGTCATTTAGGTGTTGAGAAAATGAAGTCCTTGGCAAGGCTCACATGCTGGTGGCCAGAGATAAATGCAGATATATGTCGTACGGCAAACAATTGTGAGAAATGTCATCAGTTGAAAAATCATCCTTCGAAGTGGGTGCCATGGCCAGTATGGTCTGAGGCCTGGCAGAGGATTCATGCTAACTATTGTGGACCATTTCTTGGTAAATACTACGCACTAGTAGTCATTGATTCTTTTTCAAAGTGGCCTGAAGTTTTTTTCACAACTTCACCAAATTCTGATTTCACAATACAAGCATTAAGGAAGGTGTTTAGTCGAGAAGGTGTTCCCTTGGTGTTGGTGACTGATAATGGCTCACATTTTGCTGCAGATGCAGTCACCACCTGGTTGAACGGTATAGGGTGCAAACATCTATTTACTGCCCCCAGACATCCGTGTTCTAATGGTCAGGCAGAGAATTTTGTTAGGACATTAAAGACTGCTATTGATTCTATAGCCTCCTCAACATTTAATGAGCTGGAGAGGGGAGTAGATACCTTTCTATTGCAATATAGAAATGCCAAACATTCGGTGACGAAGGAGACTCCAGCGAAGCTATTGAAAGGAAGAATTCTTCGGTCGAATATGAGATGTCTGTAGTCTGCAGAAGTTACATACTATCGAGGAAATGATCTTCGACCATCTACGGGTATTGTTCTGAAGAATGTCGGAAAATCGATGGTGCGAATTATAGACATCGATGACTTAAGTACACACAGTCGACATGTAGATCAAATACAATTTCAGGAACCAGGTGAGTCAGTTCCAATTTCAATTGTTAATTCTAATGCTAATGAGCATATTCTAGATAATACAGAATCCTTATCCAATACAATGTCAGACAGACTCAGGATGAATTTGAGAAGA